TTGCCAGTGGTGCCTCTGAATGTAGTTTCAAAATGTTCATTCAAAATTATAAATGATGGTTATGAGAATTTGAATTTAAAACATAATTGGTCAAGTGAGACAAGTAATTTTTACTTGGAACTAAAATTTCCAGAAGGTTAAACATTAGGAGTTGCGAAAAGTAAATTAAAAGTTGATGTGTACTTTTCTCATAAAAAGCCAATTTCATTTACTACGAGAGCAGAATTCTAAGATGAAGGGAGAGTGTATTCCATATATGTATCTGGGACGACAGATAATTGTTTATTGACAAATTAGATATACTTGTAGAGAATACAAAAGTATCAAATGGTAGCAGATGAAAAAAAACCATTGATGTTTTAAGAAGATGATGGTGCTGACAGTGACAATGAGAAAATGAAGCGAAATCATACAATGTCTGTAAAAAGTACAACTAGTTCAAAAGGGACTTCACATTTAGGTTATCGACCTTTGGATGCTGAAACCCAGAATGAAGCTTGTGATTACATAATGAGATGGATGAATTATCATGTTCTTACACAACCTATTAATAAATTTCCTGAAGACATTGTAACAAGTTTTGGATAACAAATATTTGAATTATTAACTTTTCTAACAGGCAAAGTTAATTTCCAATATAAAGCATAGGTTGATCAAAACTGGAAACGCCAACAAAAGGCGGAAGCTTAATTTAAATAATATGATGAATTAGTAAGATAACTAAAAATAGAGGGAGCCCTACTGAATCACATAAGGTCAGAATATTTATTAGGACATAATGATTACAATGCTTGGTTAAAGACACTGCCTAAAGACAAATATGAGTTTGTACCCGACAATAGATTACAACTGAGTTAAGCTAAATACAACTATCTACACTATGATGCATGGGTTTCAACATTCTATCAAATAATTAAAATTTATTATCTCAATAGAATAACAGCAAAATCATTCAAATAACTGCCTGGAATTCCAGCTGAGAGATTGAACATTCCAGATTACTATTTAGATGGATCAAATATAATATCTCATGCGGAAGGTGTTATTCTTTGGTTCTATGAAGTTTGTTATGAACAACAACATACAGGCCAGATAAGAAGGATAAGCAACTTCGCATCTGAATTCAGAGACAGCTTGCTGATAGCAGATGCAGTGACTTAATTTATTGGTGCTAGTATGTAGAAGTTCTTTAGCAATTTAAGGACTAATCTATAAAGTGAGGATGACTATAGACACAATGCTGATAAATTAATGCCAGCTTTAAGTGATTATGGTTTACAATCCCATGTTCAAGCCAGAGACATCTACCATAAACCTTACCCTAGAGAAATGTTAATGATGTTAGTACAACTATTCTTTTCTCTTCCTCATTATGTGCCTTAGAAGGAGCCCATCATATTCTAATGTATATTGGGAGAAGAAGTAATAAAATCAATTGAATTAAGAAATCCGACTCCAAAACCAATCAGTTATTTTGTTAAATATGAGGGTCATCCTGACTTTTAATTAGAAGGCGATGAAAGCATAAAAATTGAACCAGATATACCTTATAATTACAAAGTTAAATTCACTTCTCGTATTTCTCTGCCTGTTACTGGAAGAGTGATTTTCACAAACAAAAAGGAGACCAATGTTCAGGCAGCAGCATTAGTATTTGATTTGAAAAGTAATATTACAGGAAGGAAGTCTGAAAAGTAATGGAATGTAAGTTCAATCCTGTATGAGATATTTGACTTCCAGATTTAAATTACTAATAAGTTCCCACAAGATGGAGAGTTTTAGATTTAGGTATTGCATGAGAAGAAGTAAGTTGAACAGAGGGGGAAAAAGAAGAAGGCTCCTCCAGCGAAAGATGCTCCTCCTGAAGAAGAATTCCCTTCTTTCTTCTGTACAATTGATAAGCAAAGAATTAGAAAGAATTAAACTATAAACTTTTCATTGACCTATATTCCATTAACAATAGATACGCACAAATGTTCACTTATTTTTACGGATCCAAACGTAGGTGAATTCCAACATGATTTATAAGGGACAGTTGAATTGCCCAATATTATTGGAGAATTCAAGCCTGACAAATCATTGTATGTTGATAGTACCTAAACGATTTCATATACAATTCCATTCAGAAATGAATAGTTGGCTCGAGCTCGCAGCCAAATTCAATAATTGGTTTAGATGAAATAAAAATACAGATAGATAAAAGGAGATAAATAGGCCTCAACTTTAACAGCATCTAAGCTCAACTTCCCAGGTTCTAATTTGGATATCATAACATTCGAAGTAGAAATTTATCCACAAACACAATACTTGAATCTTCCTCCCACTTTATAAGTAACTGATTTAAACAAATAAACAAAGAAACCAGGAACTGAGAATATTGATTGTAAACTACCCATTCTATATGCATTCAAAAATGCTACAAAAGATTTTAGTGTAATCCTAACTCTAAGAAATAAATTCGATATTAGAAGATATAAATTATCTGCAATAGTATTACCTAAGATTGTTAAGGCTATGTTAGAATTTAGAGTACCTGCTAGATAATCTGTAATCTAAGAAATCCCTATAGTAAATCAGACAGACAGGGATTGGTAAATAAAAGTGTAACTATCAGAATCCAAAGGGTTATTCTCCTGTCCTTAGAGAGACTTCTTTGTCAAAAAAAAGGCCACAAGCAACTTCCCAATTTCTTTTAGTCCATCTTGGTTGTAGGAGAGTGAAGCCAAGTTGGTATTAACAAATCCAACAACCAACGATGTTTTCGAGTATGATCTTAAAGGCTATGGGGAAGAACCAGTAGCAGAGGAACATATAATTCTGAATTGTTAAGCAAGAAAAATTACTAAGAAGGAAATCGAATTGAAGAATCCAACTGATAAAGCAATCATTTATGCTGTCGATACAGATTTGATCTATGCGACAGGACCATCCTAAATAGTCGTTTAACCGTAAAAGAAAGCCACTTATGTCTTGTAAGTACAACCAGTCTTAAGTGGTTAATATACAGGATCAATCACATTTACTGATGAACAAGGACATTATTTATGGTACACAGTATTCATGAATACTGAGTCTCCAAAGTCAGTTCAAACACTTGAAGTGTCTTGTTTGATTAGATAAGCCACTGTTATTCAATTAACCCTTGCCAATCCTCTTACAGAAACTGCAATTTATGAGGTTATGATTAATGGAGAAGGTTTAATTGGTGAAGAGCAGTTTGCAATTGGAGCTAGAAAAGAGGCTGCATATGAATTAACCTTTGCTCCATTAAAAATTGGAAGATGGAGAGGCAGTGTTGCATTTGTGAATAGATTATTAGGAGAAGTCTGGTATGAATTCATTCTCACATGTGAAGATCAACCCATTATCAGATTGAATGTTTTAAAAGCCTCGTTGGGTAAGGTTGAACAACAGGTTGTCGTCCTTGAGAATCCTTCTGATTAAAAGATTCAAGTCTAATGCAGAATTACTAATCCTACTAATTTCGATATATATCCAGATGAATTACATATACAACCATATGATTCTTTAAAGGTTGCTTTGAGATATACTCCATCTTCATTAGATATCATCGAATAATCAGATATCATTTTTACTTCACCAATTGGCAAATGGCATTATTTAGTCTTCGGAAGCGGATTACCTCCCACTAAATTCCCAGCAACCACTGTTAGTATTGGATTAAACAAAGACTATAGTTCAGTCATTCATTTTAAAAATCCATTCAAAGAACCTATTTAGGTTTCTATTTCATTAGACGCTGAAGGTCATAACCAAGAAGTCTTTAAATTATTGCTTGTTAGAAATCAAAAAAACGATAAAACTCTTGTTCCAGGAATGAATGTGCTTCAAGTCCCTTTCTCATTTGTACCCAGAGAAATTACAAGCTATTACTGTGAAGTAGTCATCTCAATGAATGAGAAGATATAATGGCATTTCCCAGTTAAGGGAGTTACTGAATCTGTCTCAACTTAGACTCTATTTCATTTCAAAGCTAAATGTAGAGAAAAATGGGAAGATGAAATCAAAGTAGGGTTACAAGGAATTGCATAGAGTTTGTAAGCAGATGATAAATTTGACTATGAATTAGGTGGGATGCCTTTGGATTTATAGACTATGATTTAGAAATGCTTTACTATCAAGTGTCTAAAGAATCACCTCGACAGTCCTCATGATAATTTGCTTTACTTTGTAAGGTTTCAACCTATGAAACCCTTTAAGACATCTATGGAGTTTATTGTGCTTAGACAATCAGGCGGAAGATGGAAATACAAAATATAGCTTGAAGCTACTGAACCCGAAGAAGATGATACAATTTTAATTAGTTCTCCACTAAATAAAACAACCAGTGTTTCATTTAAATTAACGAATAAAACAAAAAACTATAGTAAATTTACAGCAGCCTTTTCTCCTGAGTCAGATGCTGAATTTTCGGTCATCCCAAAAATCGGAGACTTAGAACCTTATGGAAGAGAGGGAACTACTTTTATTATTAGTTTTACACCTGTTGAATATGGTAAGATTAGAAAAGGTAAATTGATAATTTAAACTGAAGATATGTATTGGTAATTCATTTATATTAAATTTAGGTCATATTCCATTAGAGGTGTATTACCAAGGTACGTTCCTCCTTAGATTAAGTAATCACTGGTTGATAATAAATAATTATAATAATCATAAATTCAGATGTCGATGACTTTGAGTCGAAACTTTGTTGTGGATAATATAAAGAAGGCAAGACAATTATCACCAAAAAGTGCTCGTAATTAATTGAGTTTACCATTAATTGAAAAAAAGTGATAAATCATGTAATTTATTATAATTTATAATGAATTATAATATATTATATTTTTGACTTATATATAAATTTATTTTGAGAATACTCTATAAACAAGATATTAATTACTCGATAGTTTGAAGACCTTTAATATTATACATACACGTACAAATAGATATATATACTTAAGATTATCTAATTAAGTTATATAAATAGATAAAATTCATTTAAGTTTGATTTGTTTTGGGAGAAAATGTCTAATTTAATTAAAAATAAATTTACACAAAAATTCCCAGTTTAATTTTATGATATTTGTTGTACAAACTAGAGTCTGCCTTATAATTTTCGCTTATTTCAACACTATCAAAATCATAATAACGATTATCCTCTTAAAGAGGTTCCTCACAGATAGATTTTTAGTAATTTGGATTGAGAGATTAGCAATAATTAATACTGCTTTATTGAGTAAGACTGGAGTTCTTTCTGATGTCATCTCTTTAGAAGGTTCCTCGAGCAGAACCTAAAGGAGGAGGAGCCAATAAATTATTAGAGCTTAGAAGTAATAACTATGAATATATACCTATGTTAAATAACTGAGAGTTGTTTTTCAATAGATTTTTTCATTTCATTAGAATTCGTAGGTATGTTGTTTCTGCTTTAATTTTGATTAGAGTCTGTCTAATAATGTGTGGATTATTTAATTTCTGTCCAATCAAAATTGCCATCAATTGATATATTTGAAGATTCAGCTGCTCTTCTAAATTCTTATACTATCATTTTGTAATTTGGTTCCTATTTAAATTAAAGTTTTCTTATATAACTTAAATGTGAAATTTGATGAGTACTCAAAATTGCGTTGTAGCTCACCCGGCTAATCTTTAAAAACTTCACGTTCCATCGATAGTTTCATCTCTCCCACTTTCTTTGTTCGTTCTTCATCAGTCACATTAACCATATTTTACCAAGGTAACTATCTTATTTAATAAATAATTTACTACCCTCTTAAAAAATACAAGAGAATATACATTAAGGATTCTAAATCGTCCTTGCGACCCAGTTCATGTCCTAAATGTGCCGCTATCGACGCATATCGAGTCGTACCTAAGAAAGATTTTTGATCTTTGAACGATCTTAAATTATAAAATAAAATATGTTCGATACATGTGTTTCCCATTTGAATCTCGATATATTTTACTTATTCCGAAGTCTATTAAATATAACTTTGAGATCTCTCTCCCAATTCCTAATATCATATTTTCAGGTTTCAAATCTCTGTGAATGACACCTTTTTAATGAGATCTCTCCAAAATCTATACTGCTTGAATCCCTATAGTGAGGACAGTTTTGAGAGAGAATTTTTTTAATTGCTTAAAATGATAGGACAAATCCTTCCCCAACAATTAAATAACCAGAATGTTGTAGCCTTGATCTTCACCTGACCAAAAATATTTTGGGAACCCTTCAGCACCGTCCAATTTCTTAAGTATTTAAACTTCCCTTTCTAATGAACGCACTTCTTCATTTTCTTCTTTTTCAACCTTAATAGCCACCTCTTATTTAGTTAAGAGGTCAACTCCCAAAAAAACTACTCCAAAAGAACCTGAAGATAGCTTTTTGATTATTTAGTATTAGTTATTAAAGATCTTTTAGTTAGATGATGTCCTTTACTGCATTTTGATGATAATCTTTATAATTATTAATATTTTATTTATTCTAAACATTAAAAGCTTTCCACTTTAAATAAGAATTACTACACCATGCATACTGTCGTAGTAGACACATATCCACAAAATTCCATTATAATTGAAACCACATGAACTGCATTCACTGTACTTGATGAGATACTTTAAAAATTCAAAAGGAAATTACAAAATTCACCACATCCCTTTTTTTGATTATTATAGAGTAAATGAATTCATAGTCAATATTTGATTAATTAAAAAAAAATGATCTAGAATGATAAATTCAAAAATAATCAAATCTTAAAAAGAAGAAATTTTTTAATTGCTATATCTTTTAGCTTATTTGTCCTCTAGTTTGTTTCTATACATTAATTTTTGCTTCTTTTTAGTAGACTTTCTTGATTTTTCTCCTATCCTTTATGAAAATAAAAAGATTCAAGTTATATTCTGTGTAAGATCCTAAATAAAAAATAAAACAAATTAAAATCTCAGTAGTACTAAAAAATTAACAGGTCTAAATATGCAACTAAATATTAAATGAGACTTAATATTATATCTTATAAGGTAATTACTTTCTTGAACATCAATAATAAATCACTACTGAACATATAAATTAATTTTATACCTCATATTTATTGACTAAATTAGTCTATGTTTTGTTACTTTAGACAAGACTAGTTCAAGCTTCTTAAAAACGTGTTATCTCTTTGGTAGGCATTTTAAAATTAATGATCAAAATAGTAATTAGCAATTGCATAGTATTATACAAATATTTTAATTCTTTTAGGTGTTTATTCGCTTAAAATTCGATATAAACTAATAGTGTATAATTTTTATTATAATCATAGTAATATAGAAATGGTTTTCCTTATTATCCAAAGTTCTATTCAAGTATGGCATTTTCATAAAATAAACACACTTTAATAAAGTCCAACGATAACTTTCAACAATCTTTGCACAAAATAGAATTATTGATCTTTAAAGTATTTAATGAAATCCTTAGAGTTCTATCAATTATAAGTTCAAAGTTTGCTGCTCACTTAATAAATAGTAATAGACACAATATAGATGTTGCTAGTGCGATTTGCTTCCCAAAAATTGAATTATTCTTGTTTTTCATTTAAATAACATTCCCCTTTTAGAGCATTTGATTATTAAACTATTTAAATTATTACTTTTCATGGAAGCTAGAAATAATTTTAACCAAAAGGCTTTGCAGCCATCTTTACATACTAAATGTTTGAGCAAATAACATTCTATCAAATCAGAGAAAAGAATAAAAACATCATAGACTGATCTAATCAAATCAGTGGACACATAAAAAATAATGAGTGACTTTTATGATAAATGCAAAAATAGATTAAGTAAATACCATTATATTAAGAAGGAACTTAAAATTTTATGCATGAAAGGAATAAGTCTTAATAATTGTAAAGTGATTCTTTGATGCATTCCATTGATAGTTGTCTCTCATTCAGAAATCAAATCAAGACCACTTAGAGTTCACCTCCTGATAAATACTTCTTATTTAATACTTGCGAAAAGGTGTTGCATCAAAAAAGTAATGGGTCTAAACGTATATAAACTAAATAAGCTGAAAAACTTCTTTTACAATAAATAAATTAAAATAATAGAGCAGATTTATTATAGAAGATAGAATAATATATTAGAAATTTTTTTACTGAAGAATGCAAAGAAATGGCTAATTTATTTGACACGTTTATGAGAGAGTTAAATTAGTAAATATCAGATCAAAAATATTAATTAACATTACATGAAAAACAGTTAGAAATATAAAAAATAGATGAAATAATTAGAATGAACACTAATCATGTTTGGGCACATGAAGATATGGAAAAATAGCTGATTTCATTAAAGTCTTAAAACAAAAATCAATTAATGCAGATTTAACAAAACGAAAACGATATGAAAGATTTAAGAGCTAAAATTAATTAGTAAAAACAATAATTAGAGTTAAAACAAAATGAAATTCTTATTAAAAACAGGAAGATCAAAGAATTAGGATTTGAAATTCTTTAATTACAAAGAAAAATTGATTACTTAGAAAATAAAGCACACAAAGATCATAGATAGTCTACTTAATAAATAAGATATTCAGTATATTAAAGCCAATAAATTGGATCCAATACTAACATAAGTTAACAAGGTAACACAACTTCAAATAAAGAAAACAAATTTTCTTCCTTGATCGAAGAGCAATAAGAAGACTCTTCTCCATCAATTACAGAAGAAGAAGATGAAGAAGAAAAAGAATTGAATTAAATAGAATTTAATACTGAAAGGATTGTCGAAACAAGGGAAAAAGAATCATAAGTAGGATTAGATCTCCTTCTCAATTACACAACAACCAAAGAAGTTTAAACGCATTTAAATTTGACAGAGAAAAAGTTTGATGATCTGAACTAAGATATATGTGATCAAGCTATTAATTTTATCGACTTCTTTAATATTCCAAAAGATAAAACAGAAGGTGATTTATCTTAAACAAACATTTCTTTTTTAAACATCAATGCAATTGATAAATTAAATGAAGAAGAGATAGTTAAGTTCGTGGATAGTTAGATGTCTCAATCTGGAATACCAAATAATACACCCTAACTTGTAAGGTAAACATCCATTAAAACAAATACTAAGAGAACCTCCATAATTATTGAAAAATAACCTTAATAAACATCAATGAATAATATCAAAGTTAAAAATATGATCACATTTATTAAATTATAAGGAACAAAATTAATTTAACTAGAAAATACTATTAAAAACAGTAATTCAGCAATAGAGGAATTAAAAACCATTAATGATAAGTTAGAGAATTAAAATAGGGAGCTCAAAGAACAAAATTCTAAATTTATTGATTAAATCACTAATCTACATATTAAAGTTTCAGATTTTGAAAACTAAATTATGTCAGATGCTATGGATCTCAATTAAGTACTTGCTTAATAAGAGAAGAAACCATAAAATTAAAAATAAAATACATTGGTTTAAAGGAAAATTAAAAAGATTGCCCCACAATTAGGATAAAAAGTAAACTAAATATAATTAAAATTAGGTGACAATTAGTTATGATTTCTAAAAAAATTAATCAAAGTTGCTTATTGAAAAACTCAAATCTAAGTCAGTAGGAAAATTCAATAATTACCTGCCTCTTAAGCTAGTCCTCAAAATGATATCTACCTTTTACTTAGAAAAAATAGCAAATTAAAAAGAGAATAAACTATTAAGAGATTAAGATATGGCAGCATATATTTATAATTACTATTTACAACAATTTGGATACACTAAGGTTACTGAACAAAGATTTATGATACTTGTGCTGTCAGTTAGGAAATATGTGCAAATCGTCAGAGTTAATATATTTGCTAAATTTATGAATATATTAGAGGAAAAATCAAACTATAGAGTTGAAGAACTATAAAGATATTTGGAAGCCTTAGAATATGTTCATAGTATTTAAAATCTTGGTATCACTATTAAAGATAATGAACAGGAATAAAAACATTATATTCCTTATGTCCGGGCCTTAGCCTATTTGGGGTAGTTACAAAATTTTAATTTTACTTAAGAGGAATTAAATTATTTAAAATAAGATTTAGAAAATTAAAAAGAACATGATCCAAAAAACATCAACAAAGCAGGGATAGTTGATTTTGATCTGCTTATGATAAGAGTATTAACCATATTTAGAAACAATGTAGAAAAAACTAAATTATATGTTATTAATGCATTTGCTGCATGTGATCTTGATGGAAATGGAATGTGCAATTTAGATGAATGGCTTCTTTTGATTAGACATATTGAACCAGATAAGTTTGAAGAAGAAAAATTTGAAGAAATTTTTGAAGAATACGCTGATTTAGTAGAGGATGATGAAAAAAATCTTTCTTTTGACAGATTCTCTATATTATGTATGGAACATGAGCTTTTCAGTGATGCTTAATAAAATAAGTTCCTAAAAGTCAAAAGTATTATTAATTTCATAACCAATAGATAATACAGATGCTGAATAAAATTATGAACAATTAAAGGAAAACTGGATATCAGTTTATACTGAATAACTGAAAAGATTAAATGAGATAAAAATGGATGAAATTGATAAATAAAAATGGTAAAAAATACTCAATGTTTTGAACAGAAAAATAGCTTCTGAATATAGTAGTAAAAAGCCCCTTCTTATAGCCTTTAAAATCTTTCTAGAAGAGTCTAAATGAATAATATTGTGTATATTAAGAAGGTATTTTTGAATATAAAATTAATTTGATAATTTTAATCTCATGTTCTCCATAACATTAAGCAACAATTACAAAATTTTTGACAAATACAAGAAAAATATGTTTATAATGGAAACAATAAATAAACATAAACCTTAAAATTTTACATCGACTTTATCATTTTAATAATATATTTATTAATATTAATAATTATATTTGAAATATTATAAAATATTATAGGAATTTAATATGAGCTCTAATTATTTGTAAAAACGAGATATTCAAAAAAATCTATTGATAATTTAATTTCTTACATTGATAATAGATGATTAAATAAATTCCTAAATTTAAAAATAAAAATATTTCGTAATTATTTAAGTCGTATAAATAATGGAGGATTGTACTTCTTTAAAGTTATATTATTTAATCTTAATTCTATAAATACCATGTTTTATTTAAATACTTCCTCTATATTTACTTAAGTCTATTCTAGCAGAATTTCATCCAACATTTCAACGCTGTAAGAAGAAAATAAATGCAATATCATTTAATATTAATACTCATCAATAGATACATTATTCCAGAAATAAAATAAAAATGTAAATAATGCAAAAGTGTTTTATGATTTTTGAGAATTCAGAACTTGAGAAATAGTATTAATTAGAAAGATCTCTATCTATTAAAAAACCTGTATTTATATGTACGCTCATTTTAACCTTTGTTTGTAATGTAATTACAATAATAATTTAATCAACATCCCGTACCATAGAAAGCTAATACATATATATTGTCTTGACATTAATTACCATTTTAGAATATGTTACGATTATAACAATGAAAAAAATATAATTCTTGCAATTAGGAATAACATTTACCAATATTATGTTGGGATTTATATAGTTGGATGTAGATTCCTCTACAGCAACAACAAGTGAATTTTATGCATATGGAAATGTGATCATGCAATTACAGGCAGCTTTATACATAATATCAAGCTTTAGTCATGCGATAATTTAGGTGACCAGCCATTTAATTTTACGCATATTAGTTACTATATATTAATCAAATTAAGTTGATTCTTTACTAATTGGAATGGCATTTTTTGGAGCATTAATGACTCTGGTTACTGCTCACTATTATGAATCTAGATCTCGACTAAGTTTTATTTAAAATTTATAAGAAAATAAGCTTGAGGATGCCTATTCTTTTATCATTTAGAGACCATACTTTAAAATTTCTTTATCAGAAGATACAATGTTGTTCAATTTAAATACAAGACATTAAATTGAATAGTTTCCTGGCTTTGATGAATACTATTGCGATGGATGCAATGCAAGAAGTTTAATGAGATCATATACAACAGAAAAAAAATAGTCGTTTGAATCACTATTATTATCTCAAAAATTAGAAAATAATGGATATTTGATTATTACTTTTAAAAAACAAACTTTCTAAATAAAATATTGCAAAGTTGATCTCTAATAATAGAATTATTTGATTATTTTATAAGATATAGATATATAAGATAAGAAATAAATAGATATCGAAAAAGAATAATTGAAACTTGAATATTTCTTAAAGTCCAATTAAGATTTTAAACATAAAAAATTGTTTAATTGGGGGGTTCTTTCTATTTTGATGCTAAATAATAAAGTAATTAAGAGAATAGATTTAAAGACAATCATATCTAAATTAATACATATTTATAAAAAATACTTGTTTCCTGAGTTAAATATAGAAATAGTATGTTGTGAATAGAATTTCAATATTTACTCGTTTAAAAGTCAATTGAAGATTTTTTTAATTTAGATTTTTGAGATTATTTCAAAAATTTAGTATTTTGAAAAAGAAAAAATTGAAATAGTATTACAAAGAAAAGGATGTGATGCTTTAATAAAAATTCAGAATGTCAATCAGATGTAATTTAATTTCAGTTATGCTTAAAACTTCTTCATCTAACATGTTTAAAGTCTCTTAATTAATTATATAGACTTCTCTGATTGTATTGGTTTACTAATTCGTAATCATCCAATAGGAACGTTTAATAGAAAATGATAATTTCTTTGTTATTTTAATCTATATCTTATCAATAATTTATTAAATTTATTTTATAAACTATTTGATGTTAGAAGTCACATAATCATATTTTTTGACCAAATGCTAGAAATTACTTTGTTGCCTGATTTAAATGTGCCTGGACCATTGATCATATTATCTTTAAATTGGCCTTCAAATCTAAGATAAATTTTATAGTATACCTGTCTCCATTGGTGAAAATTAATACACCTTTACCCTATTTCTTATCAAGGACAAAATCTCCTGAATAGCTGATCCAGCAATCACTAATAGAGTCAAAATCTTCAAAATTAATATCTTGACAGTCTTTGGGATTTTCATTAAATAGCATTCCTTTGCCTTGAAACTTTCCATTGACCCAACATCCTTGATATGCTAGTTTGCCTGAAGGATAATATAATGAACCATATCCATTCATCACATCATTTTGCCATTATCCTATGTAAAAGCCTCCATCACTATAATACAGACTTCCTTATCCATTCTTTTTTTGATTCTTTTTAAATCCTTCATAAATAGAGCCATCTAGATAGGTTTCACAGATATATTCTTCATTTTGGAAGTTAAATTGTTTAGATAAGGTGTTAACATCAGATTCTCTCTCTCTGCAGAATGGATCCGATTATAGATCAATTTGTAATCCGTTGGAGAAGGATTTGAGATCTTCGGATCCTGTAGAGGAGGTTTCTGATTGTTTTTCAGGACTTTTGCGATACAAATACATTTATGAAGGTTATTATTAATTTTTGTGATTGAAATAGGTGGCTCTGATTTATTCTATCTTTTCTTGTAAGACACTTTAATTATTAGATCTGGTAGTAGAAATGGGAGTGATATTCTCTTTTTTTTAAGATATGTTATTTGAATTGATAATTAAATTAGATTGAGCTAATGGAATGAGTGGAAGTGGTTGGTTAGATTGTGTTTTGATTATTTGTTATTGTTAAGAGATAGCTTCATAATATTTAGATTATTCTTGAATAGAGAAATTAGTAGGATGCTGCATATTTTCTGGTTGCATTTGGAAGGCTGGCAGTAATCTTATAATTTATCCATTTAATTCATCTCGTAATTGTATGTAATCAGGTCTTTGGATTCCTCCAAAGATGTAGAGTAGACATTGTTTCAGATAAGGTTCATCAATTTATTCTAATAAATTGCTAAATAGGTAGGTGTTTAAAGTTCCATCCATGTTAACTAGGTTTGTCTGTAAATTGAGTGTGATCATTTCCAATAGGATAATACCTATTGGCCATGAGGAAAATACAGAACCAGATTGATCTTTGTAATGCGGTAATTGGGGTGACTTAAGATCGAATATGTATGGATCCATGATTTTGATGATTGTATCAAAAAGTAAAGTGTTTGAGGACAAGTTATAATGAATGTTAAAGCTTTGATAGATTGCCATGGCTTCAATTAATAGTTTTAAGTTGTACACCAATTCTTGGTTGGTAAAATGTTGAGAGGCGATACGTCGTCTTCGTATTTCATTTGATAAGTCAATCTCACTAAATTGGGTATAGATTTTAATTGTATTATTGGAATTGCAAAAGATTCCAGAGTCATCCTTCTATAGAGCATGAATTTTAAGGAAAATTGGTTGTCTCATATTCTTCTCTTTGAGTCTAATAAAATTGGTCAGTGTGGTGACTTGCTCATCTGTTAACTATATTTTTCTCTCCAAAATGCCTCCAGGGTAGTGTGTTCCCACTTTGGTTTACTTAAGAGGCTAACCCAAGATCATTGTTGATTGTGAGGTTCCCATAATTAATATGTTTCAGTTAAATTTAATAAATGAACAAAGCTAGACGACACAGTTTCAATGAAGGGGATGGTTAAAAACTTAAGACTCTCAATGTTCTATATCCAAATACTTTTGTGAAATAACATCAGTTGGACAAGATAAGAGAGCACGAAAGAAAAAAGATGGAAAGACTTGCTCTTTAACTCAGAAAGTAATTTGCAATAACTTTGAAATAGAAAGAATACAATTTTATCCTCCTGTTAGAAATAAGCAGAAGCCAACTTCAGGCCTTGTTAAAGACAATTGATACTGCACAATCATGAGATTAAAATCTAATCACTTTCGTCTAGACATAGTTCTTATGAAGGAATTAAATCAATATTTTAGCGAAAGCAATTTGTCGAATCCAAATACAAAATTGATAAATTAATAACAAGTCCCTAGACAAATACAGAAAAGGAAAATCTATGCAACATTTACAATTTAAGACCTAATTTAGTTATAAATAAATTGATTGATAGTGAATTCTAGAGAAAGAGTATTATGTAATAATTTAAGAGACTCTCTAAAATTGGAAAATCCAATTCCACTCATTACAGTGTGAAATCTATATTAATATGAACACTATAAAATTAATTTACTTGTCTCCACGTCATAAGACTTATTAATAAATTATTATGTTTTCTCTCTGTTTTTAAATAATTAATCGGATATTAGCAGTATATTAATGAATTTTATTGATTCAGAAGAATACGATATACCTATGGAATGTGATGATCTTTTGTTCCAATCCAACATTTTTAATAATCTTCCTACACCAGAACATAGCAAATCAACTGAAGATTTGGAATAAAAGTTCAAGGAGGAAAGGAAATAAAGGATACTCAAAAAAAGAATCGAAAAAAAATAAAAAATGAAGGCTGAAGCCATTTAAACGATGTCCAAAGAAGAATTAAGAAAATTAAGAAACAGAAATTCTGCTCAGTTGTCAAGAGATAAGAAAAAAATCGTATTTGACAATCTAGTTCAAGAAAACAAGAATTACTCTATACTTTTAAAGAAGAAAGATGAATAAATTGAATCATTACAAATAGAAAACAATCATTTAAGATTAAGAGTCCGATATTTAGAAGAAAACAAGTAAATCATAATTAATAATCTTAGTTAACCCATTAATAGTACTCAGAGTGTACAAGGAGAAGAAGAAATAGAGTAAATATCTAGAGCAAATGTAATAACAAAATCAAAGATGATGAACTATGGATTACTTTCTCTTTTAGCTATAACTTGTATATTGTCAATAATAAATAATGATTATCAATACAACCCAAAACCTATTGCTTTATCATAACTCTCAAATTAGAGGTATGATTTTTTAGCTCCAAAATACTCCTAAAGAAATCAAACTGCATTATTTAGTGATGAATCCAATTTTGTTATTCCTGCTCATACCTTTTAAAATTAAACTCTATTTTATAATTGCACCGGCAAAGACAAGGAGTGCTAAAACTTTTTAAATATCGTCAAAGCAGAAAATGCTGATAATATATATTTTGTAAATGATGAAACGGATCATGTGCCAGCTAGTCGAGATCACAACTTTGAAATGGGAGAAGATGTTTATCTAATGAAAATAAAACAGGATGATGAGGATAACTTTGTAATTTTTCGTGCAAGATGTTAAATAACAGAAAATAACTCTCTAGCACTACAAAGAAATACATACGAAGCTTATAACAACAGCCATTAGTATTGATTTACTCTTATTATTTTTTAAATATTTTATAAATCTAATTGCAATGATTATTTTAATATTTATCACCCAAAAGAATGCTAACTGATATCCATTTATAAAATCAGTTGGTAGGATAAATATAGTTTTTTATTATTTTTTCTATATTTCTAATCACATTATATTAGTATCTTATAGAATGACTAATTATAAATATGAACCATTTTTTTAATGGTATCATGCATATATTGAAGTTCATATCTGATATTTTTTCAAACTTAATTTTATCAAAAATTTTCTGAATCGTAGTGACTATGTTTAAAGATAGATAATTTAAAAGGTAGATAAGTTCTATTTGATATTTCAGTTACATAGGAATATTTTGAAAATTCATTCACAACAATAAACATTAGCAGAATACCCACCTTACAGTGCTCCTATGATTACTCAAAAAGTTGATATTTCTATACTCAAATAATATTATTAAATTATGGATACAAAGATATCCTTCGGATATATTACTTTTTAGATAAGCTTCTTATATTGTTGTAATCATACTTCATATTATAAAGTCGTTATTTCTTTGAAATTATACTTCATCTATTTTATCCTTCTTATTCTCCATTTTCACAAATCAATATTAAACATAATTTATCTGTTAATAAATGAAATTACGATCTATTAGCACTATCGATCATCCAAAAGAATTCTTATTTCCTATTGAGCCAGATCTTTCAGCCTCAAAGAAAATAACCAATACAAACATTTATCAAATATATTAAAAAAATAAGTAAGCAACTCCAAATAGACATCCTTTATAATCTTAATTCAATTTTACTAACACTTTCAGATTAGAGAATAATACTCAAGCATCGCCATTAAGGTTATATCCTGAAAAAACAGAATTGATTAATTTATAATCTAAACGATCCCTAACACCCTCTTCAAAACCTCAACAAATCAAAGTAAAAGGACTCAGTGAAAAATTTAATGAAATATAACTTAAAAGAACTCTGAGACATCAAGGGGTTGGAATCGTTTATTGTAGATAAAACTATAACAAAATCAACAACAAAGGTGATGGAACTGGCGAAATTATGCTTGAAGACATTCAAAATCTCAATTATGTCAAATAAAGACTTAAAACCTTTGGCCTAGAATTAGAAAACGAAGCAATACATCACGAGGTTAAACATATGATCTCTGAAAAATTTGCAAGGATTTTATAAACTGAAAAAAATAAAACGTCTAGAAATCAATACAACTACTTTAGAGCATGATTATTATAAAATATATTCTATATTCATCCTCTTCTACTTATAGTTCCATATTATGATTTAGCTCCAACTTAGGACTTAGCCCCAATTTGGGATTTTCCTCCATCTATTGCAGATCTATTTAAGATTTCCTCCTATTATTATTATTAGACTTATGGTTTAGTAAAATCCTATTAAACAGGTAATTATGCTTTTAAAGGTTTCAATCTAGCCTGAATTAGTAGTTATCTTATTTCATCATGATCCTGGACTGGCATTGAGAACAATAAGCTTAAAGCACTCAAAATAGTAATCGGAATAATATAGAAATAAGACCTAAACAGCAAATGAGTTGGACTGCATTCAGATCTAAGATCAGCATCAGCCTGATAAATAAGGGCTAATCATTATAAATAATTTTTAAACCTATAAGTCCACTCTAACCTATTATTGTCAACATTAGTAAAAATCGAAACAAATTTGGAATAGTCACTTTTTTTGTGCAAAACAATCCAATATTTAGAGGTAACCCAATTAAACAAGAAATTAATGCTACAAATATCAATCCAAACTCAATATTAGGGATGTCTCTTGAACACAATTATTATTATTAATTTGCTGTCAATATTAGATAAATTGCATAAAATGAATTTGGTAAATTTGTGATTCTGAAAGCAAACAATATTGGAGAAAATAAGGTGAATAAAACCTATTAATCATGTATTCACTAATACTTCTAGATGGGTTTTCAGGTGGAAAAACAGAATCAATTTTTGTGATAGGATAACACCTTCACATTCATTTGGCTATGTCGTTACATCTAAATATGTCTAACCAATCATAATCCCACTCCAACAGATGTTAATTGCATACATTACAAAAAATTCAAGTCTGGTGCATTAATTAATACAATACCTTGCAAATGGTTCTTTAAGCCATATAAATAGAAGCGATATTAAATTTAGAATTAAAAGAACTATGTCACCCTTGTAACTTAAAGCAATCAATTTTATTCCCTCATCTTATGAATAATATTTGACTTACTTGAACAAACTTAATTTGTCTAACTTATTATAATAGGTAACAAATTAGAAAAAACAGTTAAGTAGAATTGCATTCTAGCAAACTAAAAGAAAACATTAACAGCTTTTGTTTTTGGAATGTTTATGTCAGTTTCCATTATTAATATTCAAAATTTCTATAAATTATTTATTTAATAAATAACAACTAAAAAATTATCATTATAGTTATAATAAAAAATATTATTCTTTGAATCAACTCTATAAAACCAATACTCTTACTTATCATTATTACTAAATTTACCATTCCCTCTTGTTATGCCAGTTAAATTAAGTATGAAAATTCTTTGAGTTTTTATCCATGTCCACATATGTTTCACATCGTAAATTATTGCAGCGGGAAAATAAAATGTTTATCACATTCTTACAGATCCTCTATTTTAACAAGTTCTAAGTATAAGTATTTTATAATTACCAATTAATTTTATTTATTATTTATGAGTAAAGCCTTACAATATAATACTATATCTAAGGGAGATTATCTCACATAAAAGAGCATCCCTAATTCTGCTCCAATGCTGAGACCCTAATCAGAAATGGTTAAATAATCTCAAGTATCTCCTCCAGTTTAAGCTCCAACTGATGTGATAGCAAGTTAACCAATTTATAAAGAAAAGTAAGAAAAACCATAGAAAGATGCTCCATTTGAGAGAAGTATGTTTCCATAGAGTGAAATCCCATTATAAAGTGCACCTATTAAAAGCACAATGATTAATACATAGCAGCAAATTGCAAGCTAATCTAATATTCCACAATAGCAATCCAATGTATCAAATTAAAACTAGATTCAAATTTTGCAATAATTGAAAGGTTTACAATTGGAAAATTAAGAATTAAGAGCCTAATTGATAAATTAAACTCGAGAAATAATGAATGCTGGAGCATTAAAAAGTGAAAACGCAGCTCTTAGAGAGAGAGCAGATGAGTTGAAAATTATTGCAGATCACGTTAAAGAGGCTGATGCTTAAAATCAAGCAATGAAACGATAAGTGACTGAGTTATAAACTTAATTAGGCTAGCTTAAGGCTTAAAATGGAGAGTTATAGAAAGTGGCTGATGAGGTAGAGTAGGTCAGAAAAGAAATAGCAACTTATAAGGCCTTTGAGATGCAGTATAAGGAATTATTAAGATAAACTTTATAATTAAAGTCAGATCATGATGCATTAAATAAACAGTTTAATAAGTTATTGAGTGTTTAGGACGAAAATAAAAGAGTAAGTTAGTAATATGACTAATAAGTAACTGAAAACGAGTAATTAAGAAAATAATTGGCATAATAAGAAAAGGACAATCAATTATTACTTAATGATAATATTAGTATGAAGTAATTATTAGATCAACTCAACTTTGACCATAGAAGTTTAAGGTCTTAATTTGCTAAATTGCAATAATAATAATAGTCATCATATGAAGAAAACCAAAAATTGAAAGATAACATATCATAATTGGAATTGGAAATTGTATAATTACGATCTAGAAATGATGGTCTATAAAAGTTTGTTACTGCAGTAGATACTAGAGAACAAGAAATAGGAACTCTAAAATATCATTTAGGAATGTGTGAAAATAATATGAAAATTGTTTAATAAAATTATGATGCTTCACTTAAAAAACTAGAATTGTAAAGAAAAGATATCGAATAATTAATTACTGATAATAATCTGCTAAAAGGGTAGTTAGAGCATTTAACATTATAAAATAGATAATTAAATGAATGTAATCTTATATTCCATAAAATTAGTACAATGGAAGAATAAAGAACAAGATCATTAGACCAAATAATTGACTGAAGAAGTCAAACGATTAAACAGTCTTTTGTTGGTAAAAAATAATGAATGTAACTAATATAAAAATGATGCATAAAGATTTCATTCTTAATTAATGAGTTTGCAGAATACTGAAAATTTGAACAAAAGAATGAATGAGTAAATACAACAAATGGATTAGGACATATAGTTTTTACGGAAAATGAATTAAGATCAATAAATGCAAATTAAACAGCTAGAAGAATTTAGATACAATACTATTTATAATTTAAAATCATAAGATTTTAGCAGTAAATAAAATCCTTATTGAATAATTTTTATGTTTTATGTTAAAAAGGATATTTAAATTATTTATAAACCATTAAGATTTACAATATATTTGCATCATAATTCATACAATCCTGAAAATAATGCAGGGTTTATAACAGGTAATTCTTGATTGCTCTGATTGCTCTGATTGATTAATTCAGTATTCGTTTATTGGGAAGCCTTAATACTTTTAGATGCAACAAATGGATCTTCAAGAATTTGATCATAAAATTATCCTTTGTAAAAGACTGATAACTCATTTCTATAATAGCAGAGTATTGCTGCTAGTATTGAACTGGGAATCACTGTGAATAATAAACTAATATTATTAGAATAATCCTATACCTTGTTATTTAATATTTACTGTTAAGGAAAGTGATAGACAGCCAACCAATTAATCCCAAGAATAAACCCAAAAAATAAATGATAAAATAAACGTAGGATTGTGATGCTTTTGCGTATCTCACAGTATAAGCTATCATTAAGCCAGGCAGGAACAGAGTATTAATTTCAATGAATGCACATTTTCTTGTTGGAATATAGTTGAACATTGGAGCTTGCAGAGAGAAGAATTAAGTTAAATTAAGGATGAGGGATACTTTATATCCATATTCCCATTTGAGATAGACTGCATAATTTAGAAGACAATAAAATAACAGAAATGGCACATAAATAGTTATGCAATCCTTGAATGATTTTACCTTAAAGAGCTTAAAAAAAGTTCCCAAATTGAGTACAAATATCACATCATTGACAATCCAACTAAATCCAAAAACAAAAAAAGTGATCATTGGGATGCTACCCAAAAACCATCCTATTATATAAAATAAAATATCTTGCAAATGGTTCCAATAATGAATTTTTAAAAAGCAGCAAGTGTCTATCAAAAAAAATATGTTAGATAAATAAGATATGCAAGCTAAAATGTAGACTTCCACATCCACATTTATATAACTGAATCCCACCAAGGCAAATAACGTAAAGATGAACACTATGAAATACCAGTAGTTGATTAAAACTCCTTGAAACTTTTTATTTGCCTTCTATAACGATGCAATGTGACCAAATCTGGATGTTAGAAACACAAATAAAACGCCTGAGATTACTATTATCAAATAGCTGAAATCAAATCTTAACTGTTGTTGATGTAAAGTACTTTTTTGGTTCATATTGTTTGCTACATATACTCTCATAGTATATTTTCATCGATTCATCATTTATTGATAGATCTACTCTTATGAGACCCCAGAAATTGTAATTCTCGAGATCTTCTGGACATTCATGTGTAATGTAAATAACTTATTCGTTCGAGAGAGTTAAATTGATCATTCCACCTAATATTGTTATTTGTGTCAATTCATACTTTAATTCAAAGCAAAATCATTATCAATAATATTCTCGACCGAATATTCCAACTTGAATTATTAATTTGCACGAATCACTAACTCCTGTATAAATAAGTTATTTGATTTTGGATTGTCATTATATACTTGTTGCAATTAGGGTACTCCACAACTGTTGACGTCGTAATTTCCTATTTAAAATTCAGGATTCAGTATTTGATCTTTAAAAATGAGGTAATTTTGAGTTAAAGTGTTGAGTGTAATCACCAATCCGCTTAAAATCATTAAATAATTATTATATATATAAAATATTCTGATTTCTCATTTCATGCTGGATTTTCATCTGTGAACTAGAAGTGCAATTATCTCCATTTTATTTGATCACTCTCCTCAATTCAATAATTGAAAGCCCTTTTTGTTATGTGATTATAATATTAATTTTTTTGAATTTCAAATGTCAGGTATCACTCAATATCTATAATAGAGGAATCACAATATTCCGAACATCCAGGCGGGTGGATTGAATGGTTTTGTCAACTGCCATAAAATCAATATCTGACTGAAGTGGATTCCGAATTCGTTCAAGATCCAAACAATTATGGCCACCTCATTAAACAATTCAATCTCTTTTAATAAGCTCTATAAATGATCCTGTCCTCAGAATAGCCAGATACTTTGGATCTAGAAAATGACAAGTATTTATCACACCACACCATAGATTCCTTGAATTATATACTGAAGCCAGCGATATCTATGGATTACTACATTAGGCTTTTATCTAAACTCCAAAAGGGTTAGCAATTATGAGAGAGAGATTTTTGAATGGGAGATTTGGTCATTGTCCCAGAGTCCTTTGTGATAAACAAAATACCATTCCCATTGGTTTGAGTGAGAGTCTCAAAACTAGCAGAATTAAAGTATATTGTCCAAGATGTAAAGAAGCATATGCCCCACGCAAAAGTTAAGCTGACTTTGATGGAGCATATTTTGGTCGCAGTTTCCCAATGTTGCTCTTGATGGTACATTTCATTATTTATCTTTAGACTTATCCTGATATCCATCCAAAATTCACTATCCAATTGGGTACTGAACTATTTACACCCTTCCAACCCACTCTTTATGGATTCAAAGTAAGAGATGATAGACAAATCTAATAACCATCTCCATAGTTACAATAATAATAACAATAGTAATAGCAATAGATTACTACTTAACAACCCAATGGAATAGTTGAAAAAGAAAATCACCATTAATAAGAAAAATAAAATGCTGAATAAGAATCTAAATAGTCAAAAAAGAAAAAGAAAAATAAAAATAAATGAATATGTGAATTTATATCATTATTGATCTAAATAAATATAGATATTTACAATTTCTACATGTTCTTATTCTTTTTAAATGATAAATGTTTTTTGGGGGTAAGCTGTATAAGCGTAATGGTTTAAGTTATTAAGGAATTTCCAAAAGTATAAAAACAAATATAAATTTGTACATCATAAGATTTATTGAAGTTAAAGATTCATCAATTTAAAATGAAGATGACCCAAACTTATTGTGGATATCATATGATTTATTTAACTAAGATTGTTTCTATAAAGCAAATTATATTGAATTGGAATAATCAATGATATATATATATTTATAATTATCAAGGTTTATCTCCTAATTTGTTATGTGCCAATTTATCCCAACACTTAAATCAATATTGATAAATAAATTACATGGAAATAGTTATGATCCAAGCTGACTTGATCATCCATGACAAAGGAGCATGTCTTCAACATATAGGTACTTTCAAACATAAATGCCAAATTTTCATATGGATATCTTATAGGCTATAGAAATATTTGAGTATAATTACTTGTAAATCGACATTTGACCATTTTTCAAATGATTCATGATCAGGACCATGACCTTAAAATAGACTATGTAATGAGCCATATCCAGGTTAGAAACCATCCTCTTTGGCATCATATTAACCAGAAATATTTCCCATGTATTCGCTCATAATGTTTCTATGATAATAGGGTGGTCTGAAGGTGTGTTCTGCAACCATCCATCTTGGTGGAAAAATAGCAAAGTCACAAACAGCAACTCTTTGAACAATATATATATTCATACCCTGGCTCATCAGTTTAGCATGTAATGACTGTGAATATAGATGGATCGGGATGATCGAAAGTAACAGTTCCCATAGCATTGAAAAGATCTAAATTATATTTGTATGGGTAATAATTTCCATGCCATCCAACAACATCATAAGGAGATCCTTTCTTTGTACATTTATAGAATTTTCCTAAATATTTATTGATGATTTGGAATTCTTCCTCAGTATTCTCATAGAAAGCAACTGGAACCAAGAAATCTCTTGGATTGGCTAAACCATTTGCTCCAATAGGTCCCAAATCTGGGATTTTGAAATGACCTTTGAAGACTTCACATATGTATCCTCTTATTGGTTTATTCATTTCTACACTAAACTTGATTCCACGAGGGATGACGCAGATTTCTCTTGGTTTCACAGTCAATTTACCCATTTCTGTGGTTATTAACATTTCTCCTTCCCAAGGCACTAGATTTAATGAGAATATATACCTATTAGGAAGTCTCCGTCACTGTTAAACATACTAGAGTTGGTCATACTCTTATTGGCAGCATATAAATATATTGCAATTCCTTGTTTAATGGAAGGATCACCTGCTCCACAAACAGTGACCAAACCTTCAGCAAATGTAGTAGGTTTTTCGGGTAGGGGTAATCGTTTCCATCTGATACTTATATTTTTGATATTTACCTTAGTTAATTAGGAGTGATGGTCACTCCATGATCATTCATAAAATCGTTTTTTACATATTTTCCAAATTCAGGAGCTTCTACGAAGGGACTGTGAGCAGCACTGGGCCTAATTTTATATAGCCAGGTCTTTTGGTTGCTTGCTCTGGTCAATGTGAAGGCTGTGCCTGAAAATTATTCGGCTATCAAATTGTATGCACACTTTTGAGGACTATTCTATCCTTTTGGCACTGCTCCCTTTAATGCTTCTGTTTCAACATGATTGCCAAATCCTATGGCATAATCTAAGTTTTCGTAATTGCGATGTGTATCCATTATAAGATATTTAATTAAATTTATCAAACAATTACGTATTATCAATTTGCTTATATTTCACATGACATACTATTTTTAGTTTTTTAATTTAAAAATAACACAGATTATCATTATCAATCTCTCATTTATAAGAAATAAACCTAAACTATTTCTAATTCCATATGCATCCTTCCATTAACATTATATATGATATTTAATAAGTAAAAATATAAAATATAAATTTATTTTATTTCATTCCTTTTTAAATGCATTATAATTGATTTTTTAGATTGAATTAAAAATAATCTGTAAGCATACTTAATATTAGTGCTTTCGAAATTTTAACATCTTTCTGACATCTTATCCTTAGAGTTCCTTAACTTTTAAGCAATTTAACATAAAATGCTAATCTTCCTTAACATGTAGATCAGCAATCTAATTTTCCTTATATATCAATCATTTTGCTGAAATTTCCAGCTCTAACAGTCCAAAGTATGTGCTATCGTAGTATGAAATCAAAAGTGAACACTAATATATGATTTTCAAATTAATCTTGTTCAATTATTTTACATATATAAATCATTATAAATTCTATAATATTTTTCACTTATTTAATAATATATATATGGTTACTGTATTTCTTTGCACAGCCTCTCTATTATTTTTATTTGATTTTATAAATATTATTATTGATGCTTAGAAATACTTAATTGATCTTAAAAATAATTATAATATTTTATTTCTCTAATATATATGATTGCTAATTCTTTTTATCATTTTTTACAACTATTAATCTATTGTTCTTTATGTTACTACAATTTACCATTGATATTGCTTGAGGATGATATTATAAAATGAACAGTTTCTATATTTCTACTTAAATTAAAATTCTTTACCTTAATTTTTCAATAAGAAAAATGCATGATTATTCCTTACCAATTTCGAATTAATTCTTACCCTTTAATGCTACTCCTAAGGCATTTTATTTAATTCAAATAATAAGTGTTGATTGTTAGGGTAATTATACTATTTCCTCTCTTGATCATATCACTATGGATTTTCGCCTTATTGAATACATTATTACAGTAATCAGAAGCACAATTAGATTTAGGATACTTTAGCATTTTGATATTTTATATTTATAATAATCAACAATAACATCCAGTTATAAAAACTTCTAAAGATCCTCCTGTTTTGCAAACACAAAGTCTGTCTGCGCATTCATCTCTTCCAATTTAAATTAAGAAATCTGATATGCATTCTTAAGATGCATAAGTAGATGGAGTGCTGCATTTATCATTTCCCAATTTTACTGGTTCCTTGCAAGTAGCTGGACAAGTAATATCAGCCTTACAATCCATAGAATTCATACACATATTATTCAATGAACAAAGGGCTAATCTCTAAACAGTTAAGGAATTTGAACTCAATAGGCATGTTTCAATGCAATTCTCTTATCCAGAAGAACATTCTAAAAACTTTTAATTAACTACATACATTCTTCACAGATTGCGAAGGTTTATTGGCAAGCAACATCATTTTAGCAAGTTTAATAGGGAACAGCACAAACAGCTTTTGAACATCTTCTATAATAGCTTTGGTTATTTGCAACAACATATGCTGTCATCAATGACAAAATAATTATTTTGTTCATTTAAATTTATTATATAAATAATAATAAAAATTATTCGAATAAAGTAACACTTATATAATGTATGAATCAACTATTACAAAAATTAAACATAAATTATTCAAAATTACTTATAAATTTCATTATAGAACAACAATTTTAAAACATAAGAGCTAATTTTTCACAATAAAAATAATAAGAATAATAATGATCCTATAATGAATTTAATAAAAAATTTAGGATTCATTATAAAAAAATCTGTTAGATTTACTTTATATTATAAGAATTGAGTTTTAGAAACTGTTTCTGATTAAAGAGTTAAAAAATAAGAAATTAGAACTAAATAAAGTTTATTTTATATCTAATATAAATTTATCAAATAAAAATGGACGCCAAATCGACTGCATTCCATCTCTACAAATAGACACTAATTAGAAAGAACACTAATCCTATTGGACAAATCTATAGTTATGAATAAAAAGATGTAATTATTTTATTTTAATCTGTGTAGAAAATTGGGTAAGGTGCTTATGGTAGTGTTTACAAAGCAATTCATAAAGTAAGCAAGTAGGTTAGAGCTGTTAAAGTGATAAATAAGCTTAACATTAAATATAAAGAGAGACTTTTAAGTGAGATAACAATAATGGAATTATTGGTAAAATAATAAATTATTATTTAGGATCACCCTAGCATATTGAGATTGTATGAAACATTTGAGGATGCAGAATACTTGTACATGGTTTTGGAGTAAATTTATTTATAATTAAAGAATCTGCCAGGGAGGAGATGTGTTTGACAAGGTTCTAGAAAAGGGATGTCTACCAGTAGAAGATGCTTTTAAAATATATATTTAATATATGCGAGCTGTTAACTATTATCAAGGATTTAAAATAGTGCATAGGTAATATACACCATAATTAATTAGAGATTTAAAACCAGAAAATTTTTTATTTTAGAAAAAAAATGATTTATCCTCTTTAACATTGATTGATTTTGGTATTGCTAAGAGATGTATTGATAAATTAAAAACCAAAAGTGGCACAGTATTAATTTACATATAATCGAGGCATATTATGTTGCACCGGAAGTTTTAGATGGTTTATACGATCATAAATGTGATGTGTGGTCTGCTGGTGTTGTTCTATATGTGATTTTATGTGGATATCCTCCTTTCTATGGAGAAAATGAAAAAGAAATACTTACTGAAATTAAAACTGGCACATTATAATTTGATGGTAATAATAAATTAATTATAAATAGGTGATGAATGGTAAGGAATATCATAGGAAATCAAGGATTTCATTCGATCTCAAGTCTGTTCTGCTGAAAAGAGATTGTTACCAAAAGATTTGTTAAGTCATAAGATTATTACTCAATACAATCAAAAGTTTGTTTAGGATAATAAATTATTATCTATGCTTACACTCAATTAATGGGTCAAATATCATCCAATTAGAAGATTAGCCCTCTTTTATTTGGCAACATAACTTGATTCAAGTGAGTTAGTCAATTAGAAAAACTGCTTTTTCTTTATAAATACTTCTCAAACTGGATTAATTACTCAATAAGAGTTATCGACTTATTTAAAGGTAAATAAATAGGACGTCCAGAAATTATGGCCCTATATTGATTGTAATAGCAACGGCTACTTAGATTATTTTGAATTTGTAGCTATGACACTCACATAATAAGAATTTTTAAAATAATTGCAATTTATGTTCGACTTTTTGAGTTAATAAGACAAGGTTATTTCACAAAAGAGTATTAAATCAATTTTCGATTAAAACGCTAATTTCAATAATAAGTGGGACAGCATCTCAGATACAAAGAATCATTTGGCAATAGTCAACTAACATGAATAACAAATAAATGTTAAAAATATTCTTGAAAAAGATATGGATTTTAATGCCTTCAAAGCAATAATGTAATGAATAAAACATTCATATATTAAAATAGATATATATTATGTTTGATATAAACAATATTCATACAAATTTAAATACATTACTTAAAGTAGTCTTTTAGATTTTTAACAAGGCGAAAAAATGAGAGTTATAAGTGCATCCTTTTAATCAAATTAACTTAATCTAATTAAGATTAATTCTCATATATTGTCTGGATTAAAAAATACAATTTATTTAATTATATAAATAATAATTTATAATGAATTAATGTTAGCGTTATAGCAGTTAACTTGTCTGAGCATATTTATAATTGTGATTGTGAAATTATTTTCGTAACTTTCACAACTATAAATCAGTATAAATTATTTTTTAGATGTTAAAAGCTTTATAATTTTTTTAAGAGCATATAATTTGAATTTATTCTATACTATATTTATATAATATATAAGCATCTATGGCAACGACATATCATATAATAATAAAATTATCTTATATATTTTGAAATGAGTAAAACTTCATTTGAAAATTTACTTGAATCAGAAATAAGCGAGGACAATCAATCCTAATCATCCGAATATAAAGTTGAATTAAAAAAACAAAGGGGAAATCAGACGGCCACTGCTGACGCTAAACGTTACCACAAAATCCCTTTAAAAACCTAAATTATTCTATTCTAAATGGTGTTTATAAACGGAAGACGTATAAAGCAAGTATAATAATGTTTATAATATTAGGTTGCCAAATCTTTAGGTATGAATTACTCAAGCGCAAAATCACTAATTCATTATTATAAAAATAACAAAAGACCGATTCCAGCAGCTATTTCAAGTATTTTGAACTAAAATAAGGCTTGTGGGATAAGGAAAACAAAAAGTGGAAATGACAAAATGTTGGTTTCCGTTCAAGTTTAAAAGAATACCATTCACAAATACAATTATTTTTAGTTACTTAAAATATAGCAATCACTTTAGAATATCTGAAGAATCAAACCATGATTCTAATTATATATTTTATATTCAATTAACATTTTTTAACCAGGAAGGTCACTCATATAATATTAAAATATCTAAAATTCTAATTCATTAAGCAATCATTTCAATAAGTAATTCTTTGTGAAATCTTTCGATTTCCATGGTTTAAACTTGACTTATCAAATATTTGTATATAACGCTTTTCTTTAAGAGAAAAATTCTGTTTATGAATATAAAATAATATAAAATTTAAATCTTAAATTTAATTAAAATAAAAAATGAGTGATAAAATAGAAATATAATCCAATATCCATTACTCAACCTACTAAAAATTTGATTTTTAGCATAAATCAAAAATATGTCAAAAATCTAAATTATTGTGACAAAATAAATATTATTGTTGTAATTATATACATTAATTGATAATAATTATTTTAGTTTTAAAATTTGCTTTCTTAAACTTTCTTTAATATGTAAAACATCAATCCAGAATCTTCTATTGATAATTCGATTTCAAAATATCCAGAATTACCAAATTTTGGTTTAAAGAGAAAGAATACAAAAAAGTCATCCAGACAAATCCACAAAATACCAATAAGAATCTAATAATTATTATTCGTCTAAGTTTTTTAAGAAGGTAAATAAATCAAAGAAGTAAAATTAATAAAAATATCACATCAGGTTGCTGACAATCTAAAACTTAACTATTCTAGTGCTAAATCCTTAATACATTATTATAAAAACAATAAAAGACCTGTTCCTTTCTAAGTGGCAGATGTACTAAATGGAAAAAAACCATGCCTTTACAAAAGTATGCAGAATTACTAGAATGAATATAATAATCTAAAAATAGAAGTTTGGCTTAAACACTAATTTATTTAAGCCTATAACTTCTTTGAAAGAATCAAAACACAAGAATAACTTTATACAAGTAAATGTCTTTAATAATAATCATTTATTTTTGGAAATGAATGATTCTTGTTTTTAATTATTTCCATCTTTACTTTTTAATTTGTTCTTTAACCATATAACTAAAAAATTGTACTAACTTTCAATTCAATTCCATTATTTTCATAAAAATGTTTGAGAAAATATACATAATATGTTTAAATATCATAAAAAATTTAGTGTATCTCATTTGTCCCATTTATAGTATCATAAATTTATTTATGTAATTCTTAATGATGTATAATAGTTGAGATCAATTTAGAATAAAATTTAGGCTCTCTATAAATGAAACTGTAATGTGGATAATATATAAAATATTCTCTCCAAGTTACAAAAATTTTGATAAAAAATCTATTATTAATTTTTATTCTCATTAAGAAAGCAAAGATTTTAATGTAATATAATAAAAATGGCTAGATTTTCACACCCCAGATATCTCATATTAATTAAATATTCATTAAAATTCCTTAATAAGCATTTTGCAAAACAAAGAAAATAAATTAATAAAATATGTATATTTTTACTTTTTAATTATGATTATATGAATGAGTTTATTGATTTTTGTTTCTTAATCAAAGTTATTCTTTATCATTTTTAGAATTATGATTATTAAATTTCGCATTAGATTATACATATTTTATTTAATTTAAGAATTATAGTTGGTCCATAATATGAAAGAAAATGAATAAAGTATAATATGAATTAAAGATTTTTAAAAAAGGAATTGTGCGAAGAGGAAGTCACAATTTAAAGCTAATCTTTTTGTGCAATAATTGAAATAAAAAATATGAAATATTTATTAATTATATCAACTTTAATAGTATTAGGTTAGTCATTGTCAACATAGCTTTCATAATAGCCAAGTTGCTTTTTGGTAAACTCACCTGAAGAAAATTCAAATTTAACAGTTAATTATATTGTCTCAGGTTTAGATGAAAATTAGACAGATGTCTTTATTAGGAAGAAGGATGGAGAAATACTAATAAAAATATAAAATTCAAGGGATGGAAGGATTAGGGAGCTCTTAAAAGATAAGGATAATTATTATGTTTGCTTCTAAAGCAGAGATAAGAGTTATAAAATGGTGAGCTTCGATTTTGATATTGAAGGAGTTGATAAAGAATATGCATAATCTGAACAATTCGATGAAATGTCAAAAGAGTTATAGAATACATAGAAGAATTTCTAAAACATTTATAGAAATCAACATTGGATATCTGACAGGGAGAATACACATGCTTTAGTATTGGATTAGACAGAGAAATCCGTTTAATGGTATGCACTTATAAAGGTTGGAGTACTGATTGTAATCAGCTCGGCACAAATCTATATTGTTTATAATTATTTTAAGGATAAGGATTTCAGTGGATAAGTGTGAGAAATTATAGTATATATTATTATTATCAAATTTATAAATATAATTGTAGTTATAAGATGATCATAAAAAGGAGTCTATGAAACACTCATAATCCAATGGATTAAGTGCTATACTGTTGTAATCTACATATGGGTTTGGAGATCCGATTTTAGATTCTTGAAAATCGTCCTCCTTGATTTATTTGAATTCTTCTGAAAACTTGTTGGTTTAAGTATCACTTTTATCTTAATATTTGAAATAATGATACTTTCTTATCTTAATTCTTCGTTTATGGCGTGCAGCATTTGGCCTACTTATTTAAATTTGACTTCAATGTCAACACTTTAATTGTAGACAAACTGATAATAGTCATAATTTCTTACATGATTTAAGTTCTACATCTAGTCAATTAGATAGGAAGATGTTTCTTAGAGGAGTTTCATATCTTCTTTCAACTTATTATTTGTCTCCTTGATATCTATGGCACATTCCTTAAATAAGTTCTATTCTTCCTTAATTTAAATTGCTATCAAATAACGAAAAATTAAATACTTGGTTCTTCCTAAATAGCGGGAGTAACAAGATCTTCTTGATTTCTCCTCCTAATAAATTATAACATAGATCTAATAAAATTAAGAAAAAAGAACATACTTCATTCCTTTTCTAAAGCATTTGTGTTTAAAAATTTATCCGTCATTTGATCGAACTTTCTTGAAATTATATAAGTTTAACTGTCTAAAATACCATTAATATAGGATAGTACCTGACAAAACTTGAATAATTGCTGTGCTTAAAGAAATTTTATAAAAGCTCCTTCTCCAATTTCTACTGATTATATACAATAAAGGCTGTGCCCTAAGCAGTCCAACTGACAATGTGAGCATGTTTTTGTTCCTTAAAACTATTTAATAGAGTTTACTTCAAGCATTTGATAAGTTTTGAGAATGAATGTTGGAATAGGAGTTCTTGCGCTCATAATTGTTATAATATAATATAATTCAAGTAAAAATGAATTATTCGATATTTAAATCCTATCAATTTGATAAAATCTATATTTTTTACCATAAATAAATCTCTCTTCAAGATTAGGATATTTGGTTATATATAAATTTAAATTAATCAAGCATTTACCCTTATTTATTCTAGTCCTCTGTATTTAATTATTGTATGTTCGACAATTAATACAACTAAAATGATAGTAATAATAACGAAATTAATTTAAACTTTAAGCCTATGAATATGTTAAGACAAACAAAGAGGGAAAAGATTTAAAAATTCAGTGAAATGAAAACACTATAAACTGTCAATGGAAAAGTGTAAGCTACAAAAATGCCATTTCTGGGGCAATATTGGGATAGAGAAGTAGATTTATAACATAATATAAATGAAAATATGAAGCATATGTTTTGATTGTTCATTAACTTAAAGTTGAAATAATAAAACCAATAAATGAAAGTAGACTAATAATTATCTTTGTTTCCTTGTTGTTTAAATTACAAAAACCAAAGTGAAGAAAAAAAACAAATTTTAAGAACATCATATAATCATATAGATTTTAAACGTTTTAGCAAATATTCAAATCTAAGATAAGGCTTTTAAAATTAGGGTATATCCATTTTTATTTGAAAGTAAAGTTGAAAAATATAATAATTTCTGTTTAAGTTTAGATTAGAAGATTATTTCATAAGTATCTTCTAGATCATAGACAACTAAATGGAAACATTAGATGATATTAATAATGAACTAGAGTTAAGGATTAATATTAAAAAGTAATTGGGAACATGTTTTTGAGTTGATAATTTAGTTATTTATTATAGATGAATGTTTATTTATTATTAATTTTAAATTCAAAATGTCTCAAAGCAGTAAATGTTTCATTTTCATTTCCAATAGATATCTCTGTAAATGAGAATGGATGGATTAAATGGTATTGCAATTTGGAAGACCATCACTTTTTTTGTGAAATTGATGAATTTTTTATAGCAGATTAATTTAATCTTTATGGATTGAAGTAGTTGTTTGATCATTTTGAGTAAATCAATAATTAATAAATTAGAGAAGCATTATAAATGATTTTATCACCAAATACTCCAACAGATGAAGATTTAGAGGATGATTAGTATTAAATGAAAAATTATAGTTAAGATTTTTAGAACTCTATAATGAAGCATCAGAATTATATGGTTTATTGCATGCAAGATTCATAATCACTCCTTAAGGCTTAACATTAATGAAATCCAAATATTTATAAGGGAGATTTGGTGTATGTCCTAGAGTCTTGTGTGAGAGATAGAATGTATTACCAATAGGTCTAAGCCATGATCTAAGAACTTCTCGAGTCAAAGTAAACAATACTTGAATTTAAATTAGATATTTTGTCCAAGATGTTAGGATGTTTATTCTCCAAAAAAATAAATGAGTGATGTTGACGGTTCATTTTTTGGTTCCGTATTCCCTCATATCTTTATATCTGTATTTTCGGAATTAAATCCTACATAGCCAGCAAATGAATATGTGTCAAAAATATTTGGATTTAAAGTACATAAAAAGAAAGGTTCAAAATTTTAAATTCAATAAAATTAAACTGAGATGTATTATTATGCAGAAGATCACATAAAGCGACTATCTCAAATACAGACTTCATAACAATAATAATCATAATCTAAATAATCTCAGAAAAATGATGATGAAGCTGAAAAAAAATAAAAAGAAGCTTTAAATGCCATCTAAAAGTTATCTAAATAAAAGTAAAAAAAATGATTTTAGTATAATTAATTATTTTCATTGTCCTCTCATTAATATTCTAAAGCTGTTAATCCTATTTTCTATTAATTGGATATTTAGAACATATCTCAATTAACCATTTTTTATTTTTGCAAGGCAAAATCAATAATTGCACTTTATTACTTAAATAAATAATACAGTCTTTTCTAATCCATTTATCCACCATAAACATACTTATAGTAAATGCCTAGAATATTAATATTGATCAACAATAATATAATAATTATTAATTTTTTGTACTCTTAACCTTATACTTTGATTTATAGTATATTAAATTGAAACATGGGCTTTAGACATTCTAAAACAACTTCTATTTATATGTTCTGAAGTTATTCACTTTCTGAAATCTTACATTTTATTTATACAAGACTATAGGAATCCTTTAATAACTTTTTTAATTTTAATTCTAGCTGGGTGGTAATTTTGATTTTATAGACATTATGGAACATCCTATTTACTATGATGGTGTGTTGCTAAATATAAATCTGGTAGGATATCTTAACAATTAGAGTCATTTGTTAAGTGTTGCACACTCTAATTATCAACTGTATTGTGAATATTATTTTTTGATTACTTCCCATTTTAATTATATATATAATACATGTTAATGATATCAATCAATATATCTTTAGCATTCAGACATTCTATCTAATTAATGTTTAATATTGTAGAATCCTATCAAATTACCTAAGAATTGATCATCTATTTTTTCCCCTGATCTCAAACAATACAAACTTTTAAAAATATTGTCACTTATTGAATAGTGCCACTCTGAGTTTATTTTAGAATTAGCATTTTAATCAAAATTCTAATAGTGATTCTCAATTTTAATATTGTCTTAAGGATCTAATTTCTAATTAAAGTCAGGTTGAAATCTCTCATTGAATTAATCATCATCTCTTCTCTATTCTATTTTTATTCTTTTTTTTGTTTTCCTGCCATTGCTTTCTGATTTGATAATGTCATAAATTGGAAAATTTTTCTTCAGTTTCTCGAAGAATTAAAATAGCTTCTTATTAGCTTAACTAATAAATTCTTCTACTTTAGTTTCATCTACTGACCAAGTTGATTCATCATTTCTTTTAAAAACTACAGCAGACAGGCATCCTTTCACAGTTCGAGTAGCCATTCCTGTAAAATTTTTTCCGTTTTACTTTCTCAAGAATGGAAGATAAGGTTCTGTAACGTTTATTAGATTATTTAAGGTGGCATTCCCATCTTATAACTGAATTGCCTTGATCAAATGGCCAGTCAATGACATTTAGTACAATTCTTCCTTATCCACCATTTCTTGCCATTTATTTATGTTAAAAGCTTTAGCTTGCTAAATAACTTTTCTTAAAATGTCATACTTATTTGAGTGTTTCTGAATGATATCGACGTTCTTCTTAGCGAGGCTAGTTTAATCGAATATTGATAATTTAACTCAATTGTAAGGGCACACTCTATTTAAAATACTTATGTTGATGATCACATTGATCAGCCTGCTTAATTATTTTAATAATGTACTTCTACTTTAGTTTTTTAATCCATAAGGTCTTTTTTATATATAATGTTACCCCCTTTTATAAATTAAAATAACGGGGGATCAATTACTCACTTAAATAGCAATCTCCTCTAATTGTATTTATTTATATATATATAATATCAAAACATGGAATCAATAATACTGTCAATTTTATTAGGTTCTGGTAATGGATACGCTTTCAATTAAGAAGATTCTTTAATTTTATCAATTAGCTAGTATATTTCAAAAACAATACTTCACTTTATATTTATCCTGTCGATTTTATTCCACACACCAATTGTTATTTGGTTAAAGCATTGAACAACTCCATTTGATGATTATTCATCAGTGTGTCATTATTTACTACAATAATCTTTTTTTTCAATTTTAAGCACTCTAAAATTGTGCCTGCTCCACAATGACAAATGATCAAATCTGCCTTTTGATAGTCTTCAGTCAAAGATGATTTGAATCTAAAAAACTCGGTTTTAGGTTCATAATTACCACTATAAAATATTAATCTGAATCATAAACCTTCCAATTTGACAAACTACTTTGTTATAACCCAACTATTTCAATTAGTTTTAAGTTTCTTAATTATCAATTGCTTTTATCAATTCATCAAAGTTGGTGCTGCCAACTGTGACAAATATTGATTATTATTTCATTAAAATATAATAATTAAATTCGTAATTAATTAATCTATTTTTGTTCATGTCCTCTCATTCAAATAGCGAAGATTATTATTCCAATCCTTAGATCTTAGCTTCACCTAAAGGGCCATAAATATCATTAAAAAATACCATCGGAATAAATTAACCAGATTCTCAAGTTTGCTCTCTTTATTCTGAAGGAAATGAAGCCATAGAAAAAAACTTAAAGAAAAATCAGTAATAGCAATCCATTATTTTAAATTCTGATACCTAATTAGAAGGCCATAAAACTAAGACTCCATTAAATCCACTACAAAAATTGCATCAGTTGGCTACTAAAAACATTCTTGTCAAACAATTTAAATAGAGTTTATTTATGAATTCCTACATATTATCGAAGGATTATTAGTAAAATAATATTATCAACAATTAGCGACAAAATAATGCAATTTGAATAATTCTTATCAAATAAAAATCTTGATAATTTTTAAGATAAATCGCATCAATCAATCATACCCGTGTTTGAAGCTTTTAGCCCTTAGATGAAAATCTGGGATTCCTTGATGATTATACAATATCTTCTATCATTGTGGTTCCTGCCATTCAGCATTAGCTTTTATCGATTAAATTATAACATCATTTATCTCAAAGAGATTTTGTCCATTTTTACGCTATTTAATATAGCTATAACTCTAAATCGACAGATCTTCCATAAAGGAGAATATATAGCAAGTAGATAGAAGATTATCAGGCAGTATGTAAAATCTGGTTTGATGGGGGATTTGATTCAGTTGATAACGTGGATAAGCCTCATATTTCTAGAATAAAAATTAGAAGATTAAATCTATATAGTGATACTTGGGATATTTTTAGTTTTTTCTTGTATAATTTCTCTTCTAAGGAAAACAGAGTATTATATAGATAGTTATTATAATAAAGGCAATCTCAGCAACTTTTTAGACTTATTTATACTCATCATCTAAATTTACTATGTTGCTCATTATATGGCATGTATTTGGCATTTCGTTGGGGATCTAGGTAGTTATTTAGAAGAATCTACTTGGTTAACAGAATATGGTTTCATTAATGAGTCTATTAGTATAAAATATAATTATTCTTTCTATTGGGCAACTATGACGATGGTTACTGTTGGGTATGGCGATATAACTGCTAGAAACAAATATGAGATTTTGACATCCAATATTATGATGATTTTCTCGAGTTGCATTTTCGCTTATTCAATGAATTCTATTGGGATTATATTGAAAAGTATTAATGATAGCAAATTAAACTATAGGTATTTGTTTATTAGTAACAATAGGAGAACTATTACAAGTATAAATAGTTATATGCAACAAAATTAGGTAGATTAATCTATCTCTGAAAAGGTTAGAAATTATATCAAATACCTGCATTAAAGAGAATAAGACTCATTTGAAGATTCAGAGAATTCCCTTAAGTACTTGCCTAAAGGATTGAAAAATGAAATGAAAAGAGACATAGCATAAAAGTTGATCTAAAAGATTAAGATTCTATAATCAAATTTTTCTCATTCTACTCTCAATGCATTAATTCACCATTTAAAAATTTAAAATTATACACCAGGTGAATATATTTATCATCAAAATGAATAATAACATTTTCTTTGTTATATTAATTATGGATAAGTATAAATTAATGAAGAATAGTCATAAACTTAAATTCAAATTTTGAAATAAAATTGTACTTTCAATGAGTATGCTTTTTTTACAGAGTAGTAAACAAAAACAAATGCTTAAAGCTTAGGATTTACATAAATTATTAAAATTAATAGAAAAACCTTTTTAAAAATATTAAAAGATTGTTAAAAAGATCTAGAATAATTTTATAATATCAAAGATACAATGCTACTATATAACGATTATTCTCATTTATAAAAAAAATGCTATTATTGTGGTTTGATGAAACATGAAAGTATTAATTGTCCTCTTTTAACTTATTAACCGAATAAGCTAAAATGTATAAAACGATAATTTATATCATCTCAAAATTAAAATAGAAAAAGTTTTAAGAGGCATTATCGCCATGTTCCATCCAGAATCAAGTTTATAGAAATTAAAAATACAATATCATATGCTCGAGATTACTATTTTTCTGATTAAATTTTAAGTGAGAAAAATATTGATAAGAATTCAGGAAAATAAATTAAAGATGAACTAATTTCTGATTCTCCAAATGAACTAATATCTCTTGAAAAAAATTTCAAGGAGGATTGCGATAATGCTCCATAAAAGGTTTCCAAAATTCGAATAGGAAGCATATCAGTTGAAGGAAATAATATGACTGTTAAAAGGGCAAGTAAATTGCAGAACATTTAATTACCTAATACTGATTATAATAGATTTGCAAACAATTAATTAGATTAATTTCTTTACCTAGAAACAGATCTTAAAATTGATTGACATTCTATAACTATCAAAAATATATGAGACATAATAATCTAGTACAAATACTAAGGAGCATGCAAAGATTTAAAGAAAAACGAGAATAAGTTAAAAGAAAATAAAAATCATTGAATCAAACAAAGGTAGTTAAAAATCTTGATTGAATTATTATTAGATAATTTACAATAAAGTTCGATTAATTATTGAATTGTAATCTAGTTCTAAGTGTTCAAATTTTAATACCCAAATTATTATTAGATTAGACTTCTAATTTTTAATATCATAAATAATATTAGTTACTATTTGAATTTTATGTCTATTCAAAAAAACAATGAATCTATAAATTATTAATAATTTTATTTACCAATTTCTCAGGAAGTATATGATATGACTTGTTGATTATTATAGATTTTATCATTAATGAATTTTAATACTATTATTATAATCTTTATTATTATATCATTATATTTGTCACTCTCAATGACTATCATGATGGATATTAACGATATAGAAAGCTGTTTCAATACTTGACACTAAAAATGCTCTATCTTTAATTTCGATTCCAAATTCTTTTTCTAGTGCATCATGAATGTGAATGCATGTTGCAACATCAACATAACCTGCAGCATCATTCCAATTTGTATTAAATGTGATTGGAGTTGATTCCCACTAATTTATAATATTTTTATACTCTTTCTGGGTCAATTTTTCTCAATCTCTCTCCAACTACTTTTATGATTCTTTTTGCTGTTACAGCTGGCTTTGAGATTAATAGACAATTACATTATTGTAAACTGAACCATTAGGGAAATGATATGAATACACAGGGACTTAAGTTGATAATCCTTTAGCAAATTTAGATATCAATTTATACATTTATTTTATATTATTAATTTTGCACAAAGAATTCTTATTATTTACATAATATGAGAATAAGAATAAGAATAAAGATAAACTAAATTAGTTTATAATTATTCTATAATTATTTCGATAACAAAGATTGATAGATTCATTGACTAATATATAATTTAATTAAGTAATGTATATAATATAAAACGATCTATGGTAATTAATGTTCAAATAGTTTGTTGATATGTTGCAATTAGATATTTCGTTTTAATTTAACTGCTTAGGATGATGAATCAATATTAATAAGCAAGAATAATTGATAAAATGTATTCTTATTATATTTTATGTAATTAATATACGTGATCATTATTTCTTTGCTTAAGGTTTCTTGGTTTAGGGTTTCTTAGTTTCTTTTGGCTACTCTTTAGATTTTTCTTCTTTAGGTTATTATTTCTTTTCTTTCTTTTCTTCTTTTACTTCAACCTCAGCATCGTCTTTTAACTTCTTGATTCTCAACATACCTTATTTTGCAGATAAGCCAGCAGGAGTACTATATTAATAGCAATTATTAAATACTTGACTTCCCAAGCTCCACCAGCTATTTACAAACCTGTCTGAGTGCATCTCCAAATACCAATAGCTTATCGTTTTAATGAATGCTAAAAAATAGATAATTTCATTTGATACAGCTCCTGTGAATGTATTGAAATATCTTTGATGTTGGGAAATTTCGAATTTCTTGATAATCTTTCTTAAAGAAGCACCATATCTGGTTCCATATTTTCCTGTGATTCCAACCTTCTTTGTCTTCTTTGTCATTTCAAATAAAATTTAAAATCTTTAATTTATTTACTATTTAAATTTATTGTGAATATATGAGTATATACAAAAGGTGTGTTCTTTTGATTGACGGTTAGTTTATTTATTTAGAGTATATAAACTCTAATGCTTCAATTAATCATTTATTTTTAAATTATATAGTTAAATTTATAAACCATGGCTTCATTTAAAAAATAATAATAAAAGACTCAAGCACCCTAAAAAAAGAAGGTCAAAAGCGAATTGACTGATGATTAAAAACAGGAAATTAAAGAAGCATTTGATTTATTCGATACTGATCGCTCTGGAGCAATAGATTGTCATGAAATTAAAGTTATTCTCAGAGCTCTAGGATTTGAAGTTAAAAAGTAGGAAGTATAAGCATTGATGAAGGAATATGATAGAGATGAAACTGGCAGAATTGAATATAGTGATTATATAGAACTAAGTAACATAAATAATTCAAATTTTAGTGACTAGAAAATATTGTGAAAGAGATCCTTAGGATGAAATATTCAGAGCATTTAAACTATTCGATGATGACAACTCAGGTAAAATAACATTGAGGAAATTAAAAAAAGTATCAAAAGAATTAGGAGAAAGTTTGAGTGATTAAGAATTGTAAGCTATGATAGATGAGTTTGATAAAGATGGGGATGGGTAAATCAACATCGATGAATTCCTAAGCATCATGAAATAAACAACAATTTATTGAATCAATTAATGAATATTACATCTAAGACTTAATATTATTATTATTGAACAATATCATAATGTTTAGAATTTATTATTCATTGAGTAAATAAACTACATCTTTTTCAATCAATATAACTACTATTTTATCGAATAATTAAAAACTTACACATTATAATAATTATTAATTGATTTTTTATCAAACTTCATTATTCAATATCTATTTATTATTATCTTTATTTATCAACAATATATTATCCTCTATCGACTAGGAATCTGTAGTATTTAGCATTTGGATCATTTCCTTATTATAAAGCTGCAAAATCTTGAATCTCTTCCAATCTCATTGATCGAATTAAAAGTATATTATAAAGTTTTGGATATTTTTTTACACATTTTAATACTTAATCAACACATTCTAATAATTATAAAATATATTTACTCATTTCTTCAATCTAATCTAGAATCTAATAAAATCTTTTTGGTTGATTTTAATGTAAGAATTTATTTTCGTCATGTTAATCAATTTAATCCTAATAATTTAAATTTTTCTCATGGTCAAAACATAAATCAATAAAATTTTAACACAATTTTTCATCTTTAGAAATTAAATCAAATACCATGTCTAATCTTAAACTAGTTTACAAATAGCATTAAAACAAAATATCATATAATTAATTTTTTATTAAAATATCCTAAAATTATTCTTCTGAAATTTAATTAGAGAATTGTTGAATTACCTGAAATTATAAAGGAGATATTTTTCTTTCAAACTTAAACACTATTGATATGTCAGTAATGAGAAATTTAAACAATGAAAAGAATTCATTTTTTTGTATTTAACTCAATTTAGACAAGGCCTAAATGACTAAATTTAACCATTCTGGTTCATTAGTCCAAAATTTAGGGAATTAAATCTTATTGAATTCCATCTCTTCATTAATATCAGTGTAAATAATCATCAAAATTTTAAATAAATGCTGTTCTTAACCCTAGAGCCCCATTAGTTATTCAATTATTGTTGGAAGATCTTCCAATTTGGAATAAAATTATTATTCATACTAAGTAAACACTAACCATTTATTTAAGCATTCCTATATTAATTACTTTAAGCTATTTTCATTTTATTTAATGTACTCACCAATTTTTAAGCAAATCTTTGACCTGATTAAATTTAAGATAATTTATTGATTTTTAACTATAGTTTTTGTGTATTTTTTCCAGAGCTCTAAATTTTTATAGTTTTCCTTCAATTAAGTTTTGATATCTGAATATTTAGAAATAGGAGTTTCCATGAAATCCCAAACAATTTGGTTTATTACTTAACAAATTATTTATTCTGAAAATGCCTAAAACTCTAATTTCAAGAAAGCCGAGTTACTATTTGAATGATCAATGAAATCTTTATAGCCTTCCTTTAATAAATTAAAAATGATTTCATGCATACATCTTCCTTAAAAATGAGTGACTCTAATAAAAATGATAAATATTTTAATTTTACAATTGCTCAGGGCGTTCATGGTAATTTTCTTATAGGATATATATTTTCCCATTGGAACACACTTTCAATTAAGATAATCCATTATTTATTGAAAGTCCTACACCTTATAGATTTCCATTGAATAGTTTATGTTCTTTAAGGGATTAAGATAAGTTGTTATGATAATAATTAGTATCCAAGACTGAGTAGAGGACAGTTAGATCGGAATCATTTTAAAAGAAATAAGACCTAATTTTATTGCCTTGCAATTGCAATTCATTCAAATCTTCATATATTAATTTATCTAAATTGGATTAGTCAGGCCTTTAATCAATAAATTCAATCTCTTTTGTAATCAATTTAAGTTGGCTGAATGAATCAAATTAATCTTTGTTTTCTATGATAGCAAAAAGTTTCCAAATAATTCCTTTGGAAGTCCTTGATAAATGAAAATTGTTAATATTCACTTAGTAGCTTGAGTTGGAGACTTCACAAACAAAATCCCGTTGAGTTTGAGTCTATTAGAAATGAAATCAATTTATACAATCAAATTATATGGGTTCAAACTACATTAATATAATTTTATCTGATTCGACTATGTTTATTATATGATAAGGAGTGTGTCTTCAAAGACTGAGAACTTAAAGTTAGCCCCTTTGATATAAAAGTCTAAGTTATTTTAAAACAATAGGTTAGATATAAAGCTCCCTCTTTTTTATAAAGTTTAGTGATTGAATCGATTTTCTTTGTTGGATAGGTTCAATGTGATTAAGTCAAAATGGTCAGTCAGTATATACAAAGTTTGGTCCTGTTCAAGTATTTGAACCTCTTAAAATTGCAATTTTCTTCTAAGTCTATAATCATCATTCATCTAAATTTTGCAAGTTTTTTATTATTCTATCACGTCATAGCCAATTATGAAATCTTTGAATTAATGAGTAATAAATACTGTTTCCAATTAGGATCATTTGCTTTTGATCAAATTATTCATTTGCAAATTTGAAAAAGTAAATTTAAACTTTGCCGCTTTGATTTTTACCAAACAATTAAGTGAGGTCAATTTCAGTAGCCTAAGTTAGTGATTAAGAATTACATCTTGCAGTCCTTCTTTGTAGAGCGTAATATCAGAGTCTTTTTATATGGCAATCCAATCAAAGTTGCAAAATTGGACATGACTTTCTGGTTTAATTTAAAGTTTTTCTATGGATCTCTTAAATGGGACATTTTCATTCTAAACTATCTAATAATATGTACTTCATCATATGATTTTGTTAAACTGAATTTCATATATTAATTTTTAACACAATATTTACTTCATTAATAAATGTTATTATCAAAATAAAGCTATGATGATTTTTAATAATACAACATTCACAAAACAATGAAGCAAGAAGAGTTCTAAATAAAGTAAATGAAGTACGAAGTTATGAAGACTTCACTCGAAGAACAAAGATAATTGTAAGAAGATATGAAAAGAAGGAATTTAGAGCTCAAATAAAAAGAAGATAATGATTAAAATTAGAGAATATAAATGATGAATAAAGAATTATCAGAGCAGTAAAAGTAAAAGAAACTTTAAACATAAGAGTCCTTATCTAAAAAATATTCGGAAATTATAGATTAAAGGAATTCTATTATAAACTAAAAAGTAAAGAAAATATCTATTTTTTTAGAGGAGGGATGATTTAAACATTGAGAATTAACTTATCGATAGTGCTTAAAAAGCACTGTAAGAAGAAAGATAAATCTAATAGCAAAAAAAGCAATTGTAAAAGTAAATTTATAATGAATAAATGAAACTGATGGAAGAAAAGAAACAGAGAGAGAGAATGAATAAAGTCTAGGAGAGAATACTATTCTAAGATTAGGCTATTAAAGATTAAGAAAGAATTCTTCAGCAAGAAGAAAATTATAAAAAAGTATTCATTTCTCCTATCATTAGTATTATCAAAGATTGGCTGAAAGAAGCGAGCATTTACAGGATATTTATAGGAAAAATGTCGATGATCCCAAATCTTCGTTAGATTACATTATAAATAGACAAATTAAGGAAAAGATGGATAGAGAATAAGAAGAACTGAAGACTAAAAGGTAAAATGATAAGAACCTTAAAGATTAATACTTAAATACATTATCTTTATAGTTAAAAGAAAAAGAAGAAAAGAGAAAAAATCAAGATATGTAGGCTGCTCAAAATCAATAAGAAATTCGAAAGGCAGCTGAAAGTTTTAATGATGAACAACAGTAAGAGAGAAGAAAGAAGAGAGAGTTTTAATCCAAGTATTATGACTAATTATCAGGTTTGGTATAAGTACATTTTATTTAATCAATTTAGGGAAATGGCTAAAATCAACAGGATAAAATAATTGATAATGTCAGCTTATCGTAGTCATAAGTTTACAATCCACTTACAAATCCAAATCCAAATCAGATTTAGAATCCATATATTTTAAGATAACTTGGACTGAATAAATCAAATCATATCTAATCGCCTCATTAAAGTTAATCGAAGCTAGCTTAATTAGGCTAAAGCAGTCTTTTCAAATGAAGTTTATGTTTAGGCGTTATTTAAAGTTCATTTATTAATAATATTAAAAATTATGCTTTGCTCTTATAAATATTGTGGTTTATCAAATAAAGCCTAATCTGATGGGGTTATTGCTTGTCCACTATGTTATTAAACACGATATTGTTCATCAAGATGTAAGGATCTCGATTGGTATTGAGTGTTGTTAATTTTAGGACTATCGCACATAAACTAAATTGTAAAGGAAAATAACAAGGGAGATAGACAGATGTAAATGATACTCAATCCACTCTCAAATCCATTGGCAAAAATATTGATGATTTCGAATTTATAGTTAAAGATGGTAAGTCTGAATTAGGAAAAGGTAGTTATGGTTAAGTCAAGCTAGTTAAAGATCGCTAAAATGGGTAGTTGTATGCAATGAAAATAGTAATTAAATGTTATATAAAAATAGTTAAACAAAAAGAGAATATTTGAGTATTGGTCGACAGAAAACCTAAAGAGAGAGATTAAAATTTAAAGGAGATTATCTCATCCCCATATTGTTAAACTATACCATTATTTTGAAGATAAAGAGAATGTCTATTTGATTCTGGAATTGGCAGAAAATGGAAGTTTATTTGTCTATATTAGAAGGAGAAAAAGGTTACCAGAAAAGGAAGCCTTTGTTTATTTCTTTTAGACCTGTCTAGGAATTGAATACTTACACAAGAAAAATGTTTTGCATAGAGATCTAAAACCAGAAAATCTTTTGTTGGATAAATAAGGAAATATCAAAGTTTGTGATTTCGGATGGTCTGCTGAAGCTAATCAATAATCAAAAAGAACAACATTCTGTGGCACTCTAGATTATATGGCTCCAGAAATGCTACTAAATAAACCTTATGATTTTAAACTAGATATTTGGTGTTTAGGCATCTTATTATATGAACTAATTCATGGATATGCTCCCTTTAAAGGAAAAACCAATCAAGAAAAAGGTTAGAATATCATTAATTTGTAAACAATTGAATTTAATGAAACTTGTTCCTTCGAAGTTAAAGATCTAATTAGCAATATCCTTAAAACTAATCCAGAAGATAGATTATCTTTGCTTCAGATATTTGAACATCCCTTTATGAAGAGAAACTACGCGAGTTATGGAATTGATTTAAATCAATATCTTAATAAAGAAGAGAAAATTGAAAACCGATCTTTGTCTCCATAATAGGAATAATTAAAAGCCAGGTATTATTAAGATTTATAAGTATTATAGAAATTTCACCTTGCCATAACATAATTCTTCACATGAATTAAATCATCCTTAATTCTAACATACATTTTCAATTTAATCAAAAGCTTCAGTTGTACCAAATTACAAAAGTGTAAATTAACCAACAACTGGAACAAATACATCAATATCAACTGTATTAATGATATTTAGATTTAGTATTCTTAAGATGATGATTTAAAAGCCAGAGTCAGTCGGGTTTCGTAAAGGCAATAGATGGCTTAATAATAAAGAGAAATAGGATCATTGAGACAAACCAATAGTGATCTTGGGTTTATGGATAGAGTGTTTTAAGCTTTAGGATGTTTGAATAGAGACAAGTAGTAATAAAATTAATAATTTTGAATTATAAATATTACTTTGAGTGCAATTCTAATTAAATATATCTTTTTTCATTTTTTCATGCCAAAATACTGTTTAGATAAGGAACTCTTAAAAAACATAGTAACAAATTGATAAATATGTTTACAAAGAATTAAAAAGAGTATATATTTTTAATATAATAATGGATTTTCACCAATTAATAAATGGATCATCAGTTGGTTTTACTGGCTTAGGTAATTCTGTACTATCAGGATAAGTTGAATAATTTGAAGTGTCACCCTTATTTCTTTTAAATTGAGGGAAAATATGTACTTTACAACTGGTTTATATTTTGGCTGCAATTTTTTTTAAATTAAAAATTCCCAATCTAAGCTTTAAAACCATCTATGAGCCTTGATATCATTTGCTCCTCCTTTCAGATTTCCATATCGTTTTGTCAAATCTGCCACCAATAAATGTTTGACAAGACTTTTTGCTTCCCTAAAGGTTTATATGAATTTTACTTATCAAAATTTCTGGGAAACTTGACCTTTCCTTTCAATATTTTTTAGTATATTGCCATAGGATCTTCATCATTAAATGGATCTATTCCAGCGAGCATTTCATATATTAAAATGCCCAGACACCACCAATCCACTGGTTTCCCATGTCCTTTTTGAGATTTATTCGATATATACCTTTATTGAGTAGGATTTCAGGAGCCAAGTATTCTGGTGTTCCACACAAAGTATAAGTTCTAGAATCAATAAATTTAGCAAATCCAAAATCAGTTAATTTGAGATAACCATCTGCACCGATGAGAAGATTTTCAGGTTTAAGATCTCTATAAACAATATTTTTTGTATGGAGATATTCAAACATCAATACAACTTATGATGCGTAAAATCTAGTTTAATTGAATATATACTAAGCTTCTTCGTTTTCAAGTTTGCCCTTATTTCTGAGATAGGTAAATAGCTCTCCTCCTTAAACATATTCTAAAAGAAAATAGAGATATCTCTCATCTTGAGTAAATCCGAGCATTTTTATCTAATCTATAATGTAATCATACTAAAAATGGATGGGTGATATTTGAAAGTATAGTATTTTCCGATATTATGTGATCTACCTACTTAAGTCTTAAAATTTCAGCTTTTTTAAGCATTTTTAGAGCTACATATTCACCATTCTATTTATGCTTTGCTAATCTCACTCTTCCAAAGGACCCTGTTCCCAAAGTTTAGAGAATTTCGTAATCAGTTAATTTTACTTTTGGTGCTTTAAAGGTGCCCTAGTCCATTATATAAATTAACTATAATTTTATTTATTATATATCTATAATATGTGAATTATTTAGGATCTGAATTTGAATATATAACAATGAAAAATAAGTATATATAGGTTTCTTTCATTAATTTAGGTTATTGTAAAATAATCTTCAGAAATTAAACTTATTTTATATCGTTGCATTCGATATCTAAGATACATTATTTAGATTCTGTTAATAAGTAACACTTTAATTTCTGAAGCTTCTCTAAAAATATAAACATGAATTTATACATCTTCTTATAAAGGTATTGGAGAGGTGTATTTTGTAAAGGTTTGGCTTTTTAATGTTGAAAAACCAGGCATCTAAGCGGGTGCTTAAACTTTGGTTTCATTCAAGCATTTATTTAAATACTATATCATTTAATTATTGGATTCAAGCAATTTCTAACTTTCTGCCAATTTATTTTTCAGATCTAAATTAGTATTTTCTTAATCTTTGTATTTCAATTCTAAACTGTCTTTTTCTCTTCTCACTAAAATTATTATCGATAAGATTATTACATTCATTAATTTGTTTACTGCTTTAATCGTTGGCATCTTATAACTATTATACAGTTTACTCTTATTGAAGAACAACTGCATTTTTTAATTTGATCTTTTCCTTTTATTTGCTTAATTCATTTTCTAATTTTTCAATTATTTAATTTCCCTTATTAACTTCATCACTCATCACTGCAATTCTCTATTCAAGTTTATCAATTTGTTTTTTTTAATTATTAGTTTACTCCTCTAATATAACCTAAAAATTTAATATAATTATTTACATTTTACTTTTTTTCATTATCTACCAATTATTATTTATTGTTCAAGAAATCTTCCTTATCACGTAATATTTTTTCTAATCCTTCCTTCTAGATTCTCAACTCTATGATTTATCTTTCTTAATTAAATTTAAGAGTATCCAGTTCTTTATTTAGTACTCTAAACTCTGAGTTCTCCTTTTATAATTATTAAGATTCTTATTAAATTATCGCAAATTTATTCTTTAACTCTTTTTCTTATTATGTAAGTTGAATCTTTTATTCTGATAAATCTTAATTTATTTATTGCAATTAAGTGTATTTATTTTATAATTCTAAGACAATTTTTTCATATTTTTCAATTATAAATTGCTTTTCATTTTCACTTTCTCTTTTAAAATTTGTTTCCTTACTTAAGGCTTACTCCCTAAAGTCATTTAACTTCTTTTGTTCATCCAACTATACTTATTAAAGAGCAGCATTGTTATCCTCTGTAAATTTTCTGACTTCAGATTTCAAATTCTCTAGTTCCCATTATTTCTCTTCCAATTGCTCTGTCAATTTCTTGGTTTTTTTGTACAATTGTTCATTCTCCTATTGTTCTATTGCCAATTTATTTGCTAAGAAGTATTTTAGTATATCATCTGTAGCACTTCTTAATCTCAATGATAAATGAGTTAATTTCTTGAATTCGTTATTCTCAATTACTGCAAGGGTTGATTCTCCATTCTTGGTTTCCAAAGAAACGTAGAAGCTAAAATAATCTCTTTAATTATATACTTTACTTTTTCATCTCTTTAACTATTTATGCATAATTATAATAGGTCTGCTAATTTCATTGGAAATGTTGCAAAGTCTACGTGTAAACTTTATTCGTTTTTCAATGCCAAAAACTCTCCCTCATTTAAATCCAATATTTGTAAAAATGACAAGTTTGTATCATCTGTCAATTCAATTCTTAATGTTTATCCATGTGCTTATTGGTTTGATTGCATAATCATTTTCAAAGTTAATTATGTGTTCCAATCATCAGTCAATTATTTAACTTTAACTGGTATTTATAATGTGAATAGCTCTTTCGATACCATCGTAACAGGAGCATTAACAAAACTAACATTGACTGATTAGGGTTTATTGCTCATTTACTCATATTTTAATTTTTAAGAAGACTGAAAATCATTCATATTGGTCGTAGATTTAACAGGAGTCTATTGCACTCCAAATTCAATTCTCTTGAAATTGCCTCTATAATCCTACATGTAATTTTTATTTTAAATTTTAACTGTAAATTAATAGGAAAATTTTCATATAAATCAAAAACCGAATGCATTAATAGTTGATTTAGGGAAGTAATTGGATCTGCTTTTGTGCTCAGTTCTTATTAATTTTGAGAGTAATTCATTCTATTTTTAATAAGGTCTGGTATAAGTGGTAGTTCTATTACTTGAGATTGGACTTCTTTAAGTACTGAATAATTCTGTCATGCAGGTTTTCAATTTCATAGTTTCCCCTCTGGATTTAATTTAATTTTTGAAGGGAATTGTATTTAATTACATTTTTCTAGACTTAGAATCATTCATGAAATGAGACAATTTAAGCCTTTATCCTTAGATGTATTTCTCCTTAATTTGGGTTGTTGAATTCTTCTTTTTAAATAAAATAACCTTAGATTCTCGAGGGGTTTTACATGAAGGAGGTCTTTCCATATTATCATATTCTTGAAATTACATTTATAAACTTTACCAACTAAGGACATTTATTTCGAGAGTTTACGAGTAAGACTAGGACGTTTAGTGCTTTTCCTTTAATTTTTTTTTAATAAATCAGCAAAACTTGAGAGTGCAAATTCTTTCCCATTAATTTTCTTATGCATTTCAATCGAAGTCTAAAAATTTATCATTTATTTTTGTTAATTGTTTCCAAACAAGGTTCCATAACAAGATTTTCTTCGAGTAAGGATTTCTCTATTTTTTGATCTTATCTTTTCAACAGCATTTTTAAATGGAAGTAAAATCGAAAGTTTTTTTGAAGGCAATGTCCTTTCTGTCAATGTGATGGTAAATGTATCAGTCAACAACTCTCTCAGAGAAGGTGGAGTAGATTTTGATCTGTTTTTGTCTTACCGACATTAATTTGAGTATTTCGTGGTTTTATAATTTGATTGTTTCTCCTTTTGCGATAGAGGTTCATTACATATTAAAGCGGTGATTGGAATTCTTTTCCCATTAAATTCAAAAGGAGGATAATCACCTGAATTCTTAATATGAACATTAATTACCTATTGAACTTATTATTTTTTTCATCAACTTATAAATTTATATATAATATAAATTTAACTAACAATTTAATCTATTTAACACGTTTCCAACAGAGAATGTAGAGTATTATATTATTTATATAGATCTAATTTTACTTTATTTGTATTTCTCACATAATTTCAATCACTAACTTATATTTTAGTATTAATTATAAATTTCCATTATCAAAGTTCTTGCAAACCTATTGTTAAATTAAGGAAATGAAGAACTTTAGTTTATTTGAGTTATTAAAAAATGAATCTCAACAGACACATCCACAGAAATATGCAAGTGCAATTTTGAACTGCAATTGTACAAAAATGTTTTCTTGCTCTTAGATTTATTTAGGAACTAAATATATTCAGAGGGTTAATTATTATCCAGATACCAATATCATTCAAGGCTTTCGAATTTTCTAACAATGGAAGGCAATTTACGAAATAAACATTAGAGTTATTTTTATATTAACGAATATACAAAATCTTTAACTCTGTTTCTTTATAATCTAGGGTTTTTATGATGTCTATGACTTTAGATTCATTTTCATGTGAGTATTTAATTGTTTCCTTTCTGGAATGTCTAATTTAGATAATAGCAAACTAACAGGCAGATTGAACTACATTATGAACATAAATGCATAATAGGTGATCTTTTTATATCTATTTTCTGATTTAAATCCATTTAAAAAGGGGGCATAAGAAATTAAATACATCTTAAAGTGTTGTGTGTATATTGCAATTGCAAGTATATAGAAAACGTAATATCTCCACAATCATAATTTAGAAAAACGAGCACGTAAAAGTTAATTGGAATGTTGGAAGATTAAGAAATTATACTGGATAATAAGTGATAGACTATATACGACATTTATAATCATTGTGGCTCCAGTAAACACTATTTTTAGTAAAATCAATCATCATATTCAAAACTGTTTTTTCTATAGTTATTAGTTTCATTTTCTTATAAAAAAAAATCATTTGTATCAATCAAATGAGTTGTGGTTTCTTGTTATTTTTTGCTCTCTTTAACAATTCTTCGAATCACACCTATCTTGCAATTCTTAAAATTTTAAAGGTCAACTAACTATATTATAAAGTCTTACTTAGAGTCTCTGCTTTCTTCAATTAATAGTAGTAATCTTCCAAGGTTTTTCTAGGGACTCCTACGATCTCAGCAGCTTTATCTAAAGTAAGTTTTAATTATCTTCCATTTTCGATATAAGTTTGTTGGTATAAGCTTCTACTTAAATATATTTAATATATACCTCCATTACTCAACCAAAAACATAGCTTCATGCACATATCTTTCCTTAATTCGTTTGACTTTGGTTTAGATTTGGATTTCATTATCCATTTATTATTCAAATGAATAGATAACAAAGACGAATAAATATAAAGTATTTTGCTAATAAATTCTGTTCGAATAATAAAATTGACTATTTCAGAATGATAAATGATTTAAATAAATTAAAAGCAATTATTGGTGTAATTTTATTGATAAAATTTTAAATAAATTTACTAAAATAAGATATCGTCATTTTTTGTGAACACTTAATTTTCTATTAGAATTATTAGTTTCTACAGGTTTAGGTTAAAGCATTGTTAAGAGTACTTAAGTATGCTGCTCAATGTTGGGATCTTCTAATTTAGCAAACTTCTTAAGTAATCTAGAAATTAAATAAATGAATTACTTGACACTTTTGAATTTTGCTTGGTCTTGTTTCTATCTCGATTCATGTTATGAAACACTCTAAGGATTATTAAAATTGATTACTTTATAGTTCAATAAATTATCGCTCAATTCCTAAAGTTGTGAATATATTCTTTATCTTTCTTATATTTCCTACTTGTTTATTTCCATAGAAGTTTTTTAAATGACTTCCTATATTTAATTGAAATCAATACATTTTGATATTATTTTAGTTGATTTTTTTCTTCAATAAATTTGGATTTCATATAAAGAGTCATCATTTTATAATCATTTTGTCTTTTCTACCTCTCATAATTGTCTAATTTATCCTATTCTTTTAGCTTTCTTAATTCCTATTTTAAAAGTATTTTATGGTCTAATTCTTATTTTCTTAATTTGTTTTGTTCTTCAATTTTACTAAATTTATCATTTAATTATTTTAATTTTTTGCTAAGATTATTAATTATAATTACTCCTGATCCTTAAATAGATCATTTTGATTCTACTTAATTTTCTACTATTTTTCTTTTTATAATTGTTTTTTTTCTAATTCTGACATCAATTAAGATTATAGTAATCCTCTAAATTCTTGCTCTTTATTGATCATTTTACTAATCATAGCACTCAAATGTTCTTGAGATTAAACAACATTAATTTCCTTTTATTATTAAATTAATTATTATTCTCTAAAATATTACTCCTTGATTCTTTCAACTTTGATTTGTGCTTACTATTTAGATAATTTTTCGCTTTAAGTTAATTTCATTTACAACTTCTCAAGGTCTTTTTATAACTCCAAATCTTCAAGTTTGTTGAGTACTTCCTTTCTTTAAATGACCATCTCTCTTCTTTATTTAATCTTAGAATCATCAATTCTAGTTCTGTACATGGTTTTTTACAATGACGTATCTCCTCTTAATTTAAGATAGTTATTTACTTGTCAATTTTAGTTTCACTATCCCTTTTGAATGATTTTGGATCTGTAAATTACGGTATTTTTTGCAAGGGAGTTTTTCTTCCACTGCTTGAAGCCTTCATCTTTTATTTAAATGCATATTGTCTCTTTAAAATCTAATCTAAAATTTGTGAGTCCTTTTATTTCCACTTGTCTATCAATTATAACCTTTTTGCATCTTCTTGCAACTTGAGCTGTGCCTCTCTCTATGTTGAGCTATAGGTTTTAATAATTTACTATTTTTTATTTTTTATGTTTATTGTATCTATCAATCTCTTTTTCGATTCCCCCTTCCAATTAATTGAGATCATAAACATCTCCTACAAATTGATCTTTGGTTGGAGATTCGCTCTTCTAGTGCAAGAAGGAAACTGTTCTGTTATAGATTGTATCAATTTATCGACGAACCCTAAATTAAATGAGGAGAATTACTCTGATTAATCGAGTGATTATTACAACTTGATTGTCTTTGATCTATCTAGGGATTCAATTGAGGCATTATTATTCAATAGTTTTTGTCTCTGCCTCTAGATTATCTCTTTCCTTCTTTGAGTTATTTCTGTGAACAGTTCTATTATAATTATTATTGATCATATACAATGAACTCTGTTTAAGTAATGTTAGTATCTGAGTTAAATGATTTCCTCATCTAAATCATTTTATTTGAAATCTGATTCTTCTCTTGTATACATCATTGAGCTTACTTTAATTCTAAAACAATTGGATCAATGCCCAATTCTTAACAAGCCTATAATGTTCTTGGAGAATTGGACTTGATGTTGAACTTTTGGAACCCTTGTATATTCAGATGTCTCGGGAGACAACTTGCATTGCTAATCGTATTCTCTCGACTTAGTTTTGGCATCATTAAATAAGAAATAATAAAAAATTAATTAATATTTGCATAGAACTCAACACTTTTGTTTGCATTGATAATGAAAAACAGAAACAGTATAATGGATAGGGTGTTTGTTATATAAATTAAAGTGTATTGATGGGTATTTTGGTTTTATAAAATAAAATTTAATTTAATGTCACTAAGTTAACTGTCAGGAAAGCAGGGCATAAATTATGCAAGTAAGATGTTTTTTTAATAAGTTCAAGAGAACTCAGACATAAAAAGTCTCCAAATGATTAGTAGTCATTTGGGTTATTTGAAGACATGAACAGAAACAACTTATAATACATTGAGTCTTTGATCTAGAAACGCAAACCTAGTGTGGATCTGAAGCATCAAAGAGCCAAGTCTACTCTCGACAACAAGTAACATTCATACAGACATGGTACTCCCATCAATGATATGGAGGAATTGGAAGGAGAAAAACTATTTGATTAGTTTTTTAAATTGAACAACTCCAGGAGTGACAGTGATTTTATGAAGGAATCAATACAAAGAGACAGTGTGAATAAGAATAATGAGAGTGACTTTCTTAAGTTTGTTGAGAATGCTATTGAATATCACAAACATTCAGATGTTAGATTTTTCAGACTTTCAGTTAATAAATAATCTCAGTTGGAATAAAAATTAAAAGAAACTACATTATCAAACAGATTGCTAGCTAATTAATTAAACTAATACAAATAGAAGGAGATTGATCTCAAAAGTAAGATCAAAATGATGCAGAAGGAATTTACAATTTAATATTAAAAACTAGTTTAATAAAATGCTTGGCTTGAAGAATTGCTAGCCAAACAGAAAATAGACAATCAAAATTCATTGTTGGCTGTTAAGAAGACTGTAGAGATGTTATAGATCAAATGCAAATGTCAAAAAGGAAATCAATTATGTGACAAAATATTGAGAGATGTTAAGAATCAGGAAAGAGTAAGACAACAATATGAGTGGGAGGATGAATCCAAACCAACCCACTCCTCTTCGGAGTTAAGTAACAACACTTAGGAAGAAGAATTAGAGGATTCTACTGACTTCAATTATTAACTCTATGATAAGAACCGAAGGAAGTCTATTTCAAAGGTTTGTCACAACTCCATCTAGTCATCCGAAGAGCAATAGGAGTAATTAGTTTAAAGCTTCATTAATGGGAAAAGCAAGAATCTTAGAGAGTTCCCCAAGGACATGTTTCTCAGAAAAAAACAAACACCAGATCCTTATTATATTGAGGAAGAGAATACCATCAATAGTAACTGACATATATAATGATATTAAAATTATTATAAATGCTTTTCTTTTTAATTTTTGAGATGATTGCAGCATTGCAATATGAAGATGCTATATTGTTTCACTGGAAAGGTAATTTAACATCTAATTCCATAACAATGAAAGTGTTTACAAGACAGGATTCAATGCTTAACTTTAGGATTATTTCTTGGGATCTGAAAAATATTGAAAACTTTTCATAGTATATAAATGAATTATGAACAGACTTAAAGTCAATCAAAGCAATGAATCACCAATTATACTTTAATTTCAGAATCTTTAACCTAATACTTAGTATTTCTATATATTTGAGTTCTATGATATTGAGAACATTACACCTGAATATCTGAAGACTGTGTACAACAAAGAAAAAGATTACGAATTTACAACTGAGTTTGAATAACCAATGTTTTCATTCAAAACTTTTGGATTGATCGGACAACCGTACACTTTTAATTTTAGTGCCTCAGGTTGTGCAAGAACTGCATCAATCAGTACTATTTTTCTTGATATATATTAAAATACCTATCCCCAATTCTTTTTCATGCTAGGTGATTTGCATTACAGAGATATAAATACCGATTCTGTTGATGAATTTGACTTTGCTTATAAGCAAGTCTTCGGTTCCACTACATAGAGATATTTGTATTACAATCCACTAATTATATAGATATCAATAAGTACCAATCGAATATCAATTTGATGACCATGATTTTGGGAAAAATGATGCCGATGGAAACAGTCCTACCAGAAATACTGCCAATTTATTATATTGGAAATACGTTCCTCATGGGAATCTACATAATTATCGACCTCTATTTCAAGACGAAGAGTTACCACAATTCCCATAAGAAGTGAAGAACATAGAGGAAATAAATGAAGAAAATATTGGATCCTATAGATATCAAATTATTGGAAGAACCATAATAATCACTGTTGATTTAAGAACATTTCAAAATTTAGAAGTCTTAGGAGATCAATTTGGGAACTTCTCAAATGCAAGGTCTATTTTAGGAAAATAATAAAGAGAATGGCTAATAACAATATTAGATAAAGTAGCTATAACAGATTGGATTTAAGCAGTCATTTTCATATCTTCTGTGAATTTCCATGGAGAAACATGGGATATGTTTCCTCATGAATAACTATTAATAGCTGATAAGTTATAGAATATTCAGGAGGTTTTAGAGAAATAAGTGTTGATTGTCAGTAGTGATTCTCATATGACTGCTATGAAAAATGGATATAATTCTTATATTCAACATCTAGGCCTCAAATACAAGTATGGACTCTAAGAAACAATGTGTGGATCGTTGGATAAGTCAGGTTCTTGCAAGACTTAGCCATTAACATTTGGACCTTGGTTGGGGAAGAATCACTACACCAATATTGAAATTTAAGATTCTCAATTAAGAACCTGCATAATTATTAGAGCTTTTGAAAAAAGTAGTCAGCTCTTCTTTTACAATACGTGTGATGATAGGTTGAAAAGTCTTGAAGGTAAAGTGAAGTGTCCATTTGATGTTTTAATGAGGGTTGTTTATGTTATTGCTTCGTTATTAGTTTCTTTTGGCTTTTTAATCATTATTTATTTGATTGTCAAGAAATGCCATAAAAATAGTATGAGATACAGCTTAGTGATGAGAGAAAAATGATCTAGATAATAAAATTTACATTCAGTTTGTAGATTTTCAATTATAAAAATTATATTTATATATATAAATTATTCTTGAATTTATTAATGGATTAAGTGTTTATCACTCCTAGTCAGAGAAGTCCTAGAGTTTCAATCGGGCCTTTTGATGTTATCAAGTAAATTTATCAGAAAGAAAAAATGCCATCTTTCATACAATCAGAGGAAAGCTTGATCAACTGTTTAAATGAAGGACAATAAAGATAGACTATTCCTTAAAGACACCCTTCTAGAACGAAATTACAACAAACATATATCTCTCGTTCCTCCATTTTAAAATTGCACTTGAAACCAAAATTTTTGAAATTCATACAATAAAAATAATTCATTACAAGATTTTTATCGAATCTCTACTAACGAGCGTATGTTAAATAAAGTAATAATGATTATCTGTAGGAAAATTACTTATCTATGAATCTTAAAAATAAAAATGATTGTATTTATAATTACATAAATTATAGAGGAATTATTGCAGAAGGATAACAGCTATGTTATTTAACCTGGATCATTCTTTTTAATTTTTTGGGATCTGGTTGGAATAAGTGTTATCGCTTTAAGTTTATGGCTATGTCCCTTTCTAGCTTGCTTTTTGCAATAACATAAAGAGAGAGAAATGGATCAAGAGATTTTCAAATATTTAGTTGCCATAATCGCATTGTATGCAGTGTTTGACTTTATAATTAGTTTAAATCGAGGGTTCATTTAAAAAGGAGAGGTAAGACTCTAATCCTTATATAGGTAATCTATGACAGACTGCAAATTATTAAAAACTATTTCTAATATACTTTCTTTACAGAGATATTAAATCTGGTTATGTGGTCACTCTTTTACTTCGATTATTAAGTAAATGAGTTTATTACTATAATTTAAATGCTCATCATTTTTAAGCAAATCAGAAAGAAGATTACTATTTAATATGAATAATTCTATTTAAGAGGAGGATTGAGTTAAATCTTAGATTTAATAAATGTAATCTTAAGTGTCTATTTTGTTGCTCACACAATGGCATGTTTTTGGTATTATATGGGGGAACTGACTAGTCAAAAATTTGGTCACTCTTGGTTGATTAAGGAACATCTACTAGATGAAACCCTTTGGTTAAGGTATGCCTATTCTTTGTATTGGGCAACCATGACGATGGCAACAGTTGGGTATGGAGATATCACGGCACAGAATCATTACGAGGTTGTATCTTCAATTATAATGATGTTCATTAGTAGTTGCACCTTTGCATATTCAATGAATTCGATTGGGTACATTTTGAAACTAATTTATGATCAAAAATAACGATATAAGTAATTATTGGAATTAAATCCTAGAAAATCACTAATTCTGATAAACTAGCATATGCGGAATAACAATATTGAGCCGGAATTATAAAGTAGGATACGGAATTATTTGCAATTTCATTATCAGGAGGATGTGTTTGGGAGTTAAGAAGATGTATGCAAAATTATTTAGATAAAAGATAGATAAAATATATGCTTATCTCCCTTCAAGTCTCAAAACTCAACTCACTGTTGATATCAAAATGACAATAATGAAAAAAATTAAACCATTACAACTGTTTTCATTGTAAACATAGCAATTCATAGGTTAAGAAAGTGAATTGTAGACATTTCTTCCCGGTGATTTTATCCATGACTTTGATTCTTCGCTGTATAAAATTTGATAATTTAAGCTACTTTTTTCATTCAGGAACTGCAACAGTCATGGAAAAATAAAGCAATTCATAAATAGAAATACTCAATGAGGGTGATACCTTTGGAGATTACAGTTTTTTTACAGGTTTCAATGTGAATGTAAAGGTTAAAGCAAATACACTTTGCAAAGTATACAAAATTGAAAGATCGAAATTTTTGGAAATACTCAAATTTAATCAAAGGGATTTTGAAAAATTTCATTAAATCAAGGATGATATTATATTCGACTCAAATCTCTAATAAATAAACTTAAAATGCAGATTCTGCCATCAATATCATCATATTAGTTTAAATTGTCCCAATAATTTCTATAAGCCAGATATCGAAAGAATAATAAAATAAGAATATTTCAAATAATAGTAGAGAAGAGAGAGAAATATTAAAAGATAATCTCGAAGATAATTCAATACTCTCCTTGCCCAAGAAGAAATACAAAATTGTGCTTAATTATTTGACGATAACGAATCTATTAAAATACTAAGTTAAGAAGATTAAAGAAATTCGTATACTTTATATGAATCCAAATTGGATCATAAAAGTTAGAAAATATCTTCATAAAAACATATTATAGAAAAACAATCTAATTCATGCTAGATTATCGACGAAGGTTATAATACAGAGAAGTAGCAAATGATGTTAGATGAGTTTAAAACTAAAAACTTAAGTGTTACTGCAGAAATTGACTAATATTATTGTTTTACTGTGTATAAGTAAAATAATAATATAGATAATATGGTTAAAGAGTATGAAAAATAGTTTAAGAAATACCCAAAATATTTTCAATAAAAAATTGACCATGCAAGTAGGTATACATTTTCTTATTGGGCGAAGTTCAATTCAGTTAAAATAAGATAAATTCTGGAAAAACCTATATGAGAATTGAATGGCATATCTTATTACATATTGATATACTTAATAATCACATTATCGAGAAGATTTATCTATCACTAAAGAGAATAAAATATTTATTTTATAATTTTTAACTAAATTATGAATAGACATATTTATTATATATTTACAAAAAAAGTAAGGCTTCTTTGATAGTATTTTAACTCTGATGATGATGTCTATTCTACAAACATTTAATATTCGATATCAAAAGTTTTAAGGGAAAAATCTAATGACATTGACCCCTTTTAACTTCAAGGCATCTTTAATTTGATGCCAATTTTGTCTTTCTTAATTTAGGGCTTGTTTACAATCAGGACACTTTTCATGAAAACTGGTGGTCTAATCACAATTATTGCAATATTCTGATTGGCAAACGTGAAGTTTAAAATTATCAGGTATTCTTGAATCGTTTTTAATTTTAAATGGATCAATCTAATCCTTAGTAAAAGTGATGGTATTAAATGAGGTATTAAATGATATTCTCATTATTAACTTGGTTTTCACAAGGTTGGAATTATAAAATTCAATTAAAATGTCCCCATGGACGACAATAGGATTGGGTGTCATTATTATACAATTTGTCTAATTTTCTTAAATGATTTTAAGTATTTAGGTGTCTTTGATAAGTTGTTGGTTCTGATAGATTTTAGCCGATATCTTGCTGCCATCATCAATATTGAGTTTTGGTACGCCCTCTATAATAATGGAGCTCAAATATTTAAGACTTGGGTAAATGGCTTCTCCTTATAATAATTGATTGAAATATTCGATATAACGAATTTGGCATGGTTAATTAACTCCCAAGCCTTCGTCGTTGAATCTGGATTTTTCATAATATTATAGAACATCATTCACGGTGTTAAACATTCCACAATATAAAAGGTAACAGCAAATTAACGTACCCGTTCTGCCCTTTCCTGCCAGACAATGTACGACAACAACATTTTCTTATTTCTAATTAAAGAACTCTTGCATAGATTTACACATATTAAAGAGTAAATGTAATTGGGGAGCATGATGATTGTTCCACTGATAATTTTTAACCTGATTTTTAAATTTAGAATAATCATAAGTGCGTGATGATAGATTCATAATTAAGTAATTATTGCCATGTCTGTTCTCCAAAAATTGAACCACCTAAAATTCTACATATATAATACCTTATCAATGGGATTCCTATAACAGCTTTCAAATCCTTCAGCAGGGAAAGCCATAGCTATTATCCTATCGCAAACATAAGTCAAATCTAAGTTATAACCTTCTGAGATGAATCTCTTTTTTTTTCCTGAAACTATTGTTCTAATATAATCCATATATTATGTATATTTTAAATAATATTCATTTAAAATGATCTTAAACTCACTTATTAATACCCAAAACATTTTTCAAAACCCCCAAATTAGAATTAAATTAAACAAAAACGTCACTAAATAATTAATTAATAAAATATTATGACATATACTCACATTTATCTCAGTATTGTTCATCAAAAAGAAGCACTTGACTCAACCACTGAATCAGACTATTAATCATCCCCAAAAGATTCGTTCTTTTTAACTTTCTTTTTAGGTTTCTCCACCACAAGAATAATCAAGTTTGTGTGATATTTTTCCTTTATTTATTTTTTTCTACCTAGTTTTTTTTATTTGAAAATGAATCCTCCTCATCGGAATCTGAAAGATCATTTTTATATTCTGCAATCTATTTCTTCTCCCTAATATCCACCTTATCTCTGTTTTCTTAATTTTTCCTTGCATCCAATCCCTTGTCAATATCTTTAAAAAGCTTGTTTTAGAACTCTTCAGAAATCTTTAATTAAGTTAACTAAAATACATGCTTATAAACTTCTGACTTTTAAGAAACAAAAGACAATGAGTATTTACCCTTACATTTCAATAGGATCAAACTTTAAGCTGGAGGAAAATCATCTAGAAATTTTAACTTTAATAAGGTTATTTTTCTCGATCATCTCGAATTATTAGCCTAGTTTGACTTGTTCACTTACATATTCTTCTTCCTCTATTAATAATACTCCTTTGTATTATATTAATCAGCATCTCTACAACATAGAATAAATCTCTACATCTTTTTGGGTGGCTGCACCTCTTCTTTCTTAATTCTTATCTCATTCTTTCTGATTATAAAATGCTCTTTTCGATAATCCTTAGGCATTTCCATAATAGCTTAATGGTTCTTTTAATCTACTATGTCCACTCTAAGAACTTTACTTTAATTCATATTTTAATATATTAAATGAAACAACCATTCAAAATCGTGACTTCCCACTCCTTACACTATAATTTCCACTTCTACTCCCAGATTCCTAAGGTGTTTCTACACTATTCATTGATCTCATGCCAGAAGAGGGTTCATCACTTTGTTCCTAAGGTATTTAAACTAGTTCCTTCCTCTTGATTTCCTTCCACATTTCAGGTTCATTGATGGCAATTTCGAATAGTTTTTGCTAAATATGTAATAATGAAATACCATCATTGTTTTAGTAGATACATAATTATTGATTTACTATTCATTGTTTCTTATTTGTTGTTACCTAACTAATTATTAGGCTTAGATTCTTTAATTCTCAGATTATTATAGTCTCTATCTCCATAATTAAATATTTTAATCATCCACATTTATTTTTTCACCTTTTTTCTTTTTAGCTTCAATTTCTTTAATAAATTCAAAAAATTCCTTCATCTCCTCAATGTTGTCTTCTTCTTTGTCCTCAAATTGAAAGTCCAATCTAAGCTTCTACTAATTTAATTATTTCTGCATCACTCTCCTCACTTCTTCTCTTTCTTATATCCATTTATAATATTATTCTTTTGTTACTTCCACCAACTCATTAAATGACTTTGTTTTATCCATATTCTAAAATAGAAATGAATCAAACCTAAAGATTTTGAATGATATTTTCAGATAAATGAATATTGTCAATATATTTCAAACCTGGTTTTGCTTTCAATAATCTAATCTCATAGCCATTAACCTAAGAAACAGGATTTCCTTTGAAATCGACTTTGTCAAGACTTGGCAATGTTTGAATAACTGCGCATAATTCATCAATATACTCTCCAGGAACTTAATTATACCCCATCTTAAGATCCTGTAAGTATTAACAAGTACCCATTAACCTTGTAATTGAAATTAGATTATTCTTCTGCACATCTAGAAGTCTAAGTCTTGGAGATTAATTCAATTTAGGGAGATATATGAGTTAATTTCCAGATAAATTGAGTTACTCCAATGATGGGAGATTCTGATCAGCAATATATGTGATTTTATTAAAGGATAGATTCAATACTTTCAATCTGGGCAATTATAATTGAGGAACTTCTTTGATGAAATTAGTATTCAGATTAAGCTATTCTAAATTGGGAAGTTCTAAATTTTCTATGATCTGGATTTAATTTAATTACAGCTCCAATAACTTAAGTTGAATCCTAGACTTGCATAATTTAATTACATGTGTCGAATGACTTCTTCTATTTAACCTAGACTATTCTATTCGAGAATCATCTCTTAGATTTTATCCACTCGACAATATTGATCGATGTTCTTAATGCTCACAAGATTTCTTGTATTTAAATCTATAATATAGTAGTCTCCTTTCAAGATGTAATTTCTCTCGAATACCGCCTTGGTAAGTTTACTCATAAAATTTTATAAAATAAAAATATAAATTATACAGAGTTCATTCTTAAGAATGCTCATAATAAGCAATTCCATACATAATGGCTACAGCTGCACAGAATGCAACGAACTGGAGAATTGATATTTTAATATTTTCTTCTTTTAAGACTTCTGGCAACATATCAACACAGCTGATATAAATGAAATTGCCAGCAACAAAGGCCAAAACCAGGGTGTCATTATCCATGGATGATACTCCTAATCCTATTATAGCCCCTATTAAAGCACTGCAATTAATTATTCCATTTGAGAATAATGCTTATGAATTTGTAAATTTATTTTCGAGCAGAATACTTGTATCACCTATTTCCTATGCTGTTTCATGAATTATTATTGCTATTAATGTAGCTATTGTACTGTCAAAATTATCATCACTGGTTGTTGCAAAGATAACTCCTAATGCCAAACCATCCATAATATTATGAAGAAAGTCTGAAACTAAGTTGAGATATCCCAAAGTTGGCTTATATTTCCAACTCTCATAAGAAAATAATTATTCTGAAATTGGAAGCTATTAGACTTTTTCAAATTGCATTTCTTGAATCCTTGTTACTTGATCGACAATACCAGGAGAATCAACAGTATTTTTATTATCCATATTGGTTTCTTGTTGGCCAATTTCAAGATTTTAATCTTCAGGTTAAACTTTTTTAATCATAACATAAGATTATAAGATTCTCATGGCTTTTTCTATTAAAAAAAAGCTCAGAACCCCTAATAATAGTAACAAAGATGTCAAAAACTCCTTGGAGATATCTTCCTCTTCCTCTTCAACAATTTCTTCCTCATCCAATAATCTATTATCCTCTGATTCTTCGTTGTGATCTTCTTCGTTATGATGCTCATGTGATGAGAATGAGTGAGGAATTAAATGGATAAATGCATCGCCTAAATTAGAATATTCTTTACCTAATAATGCTCCTATAGCAAATCCAATTAAAACTTTCATCACTTATTGTGCTGTTTCTCCTTTACTAAACTTTTTCAATATGATGATCAAAATGGAAACCACAAATCCAATCATACTTACACCAAACGAGGCTAATATTCCATAGCCCCATCTTTCTGAGCTCGTCGGTGCTCCAAATACGGTAGATATCAAACTAAACAAAATTATGAAGCCGTGGTGATTCATGAGCACAATTAAATATTATTAAAATTTTTAAATTCTTTAATTAGTATAATATATATATACATGATTATATTAACAATATAATTATATTAAACATAATCTTTGTTGCGTATTAAATGATGTACTAAAAAATTATATGAATTCTCCTTTTCTTTGTTATCTCAAAAATGATGTCCTCAATTATTTGATAAATAAGTGCATATTAAATTAGATATTATTTTTATTAACTTATTTTGATGACTGATCTAGAAGAAAACCTCTTTTAAAAACCTGAGGCTATTAAAACCTAATTTTAGGCTCTTTAGGAGGTATTAAGATCTAGTAATAATCAAGAAAGTATAGAATATTGTTGAAGAATTAAAGGTTTACAATGACTAGTAATAATCTTTATAGATTGCAAATCTGTATTATTATTTCCTTACATAGATAATACAATGATTTACAAGGTTCAAGGAAACAATTCAAAATAAAGGCAGATAAAACTAAAGAATTAATCACCCAACTCGATAAAATAGCGAGAGGAAATGAATAAAACAATATAGCCAACAAACTCAAATAATAATATTTGAAAGAAGTCGATAGACAAAAAAGGATCATGAAGAGTTTTGTGAATTCTTCATTTGAACAAAAATTCTCAAAAATTTCAGTGATCAGATAATCAAAAGCTTATGGATAAGAGACTGCGTAAGAATAATTGAAATATTTTGTTGATCAAAATTATGTGAAAGTTGTTCCTAAAGATCAGAGAGTATCCAACAATGAAAGAAGCAATTTATCTCAAGTTCATGCTGAAGAAGCTACTAGAATAAAAACAGTTTCAATCGATGAAGATTTTGTAGAAAACGATATGATCGACTTAGAAAATATGTTAATTGATGAAAGACAACGTGAATTAGACATAATTGAAAGGGAGGCACTGTAATTAAATTTAATTGTCAATCAAATGGGCGAGTTAACAGATCAATAAGGCCAAGAATTAGATTTTGGATAACAAAATTTAAATGAAGCCAAGGCTAATGTCATTGGCGTATCGAATGAGCTAGTTGGAGCGGAGGAAAACTAAAAACAGTCTATGCAAAAGTATAAATATGTGATAGGCGGCCTTATTGTTGTAATTATAGTATTGATTATTGTATTTATTGTAAAATGAATAATGGAATTAAATAATAAAATATATCATATCATGTTCCAGCTGCAAATACACCTATTAAAATAAATAGAATAAGTCCTCCTAAAATTAATAAGATATTTTAAGTTTTATTCTCTGAAGGATACTCCTATTATTCTCCTTAAAGTCCTTAATTATTTATATTAAGATCTTTTTTTGAATAACAATAATTCCATTATTTCAATTTATTTCTTATGTCCTAGAGCTGTTGATATTGAATGTTCTTGAATTCTTGTTACAATTACAAAGAATTTACACCCAATCTTTTAATAGTCTCATAAAGATACTAAGATCTTAATAATAAAAATTTACTGGCTTTGGTTTATCGAAATTGATTCTGCTTATTCTTTCCAATTACTTCTTGGCTTCCTGAATTTGATTCAACTCTTATAAAAATTCATTTGCCTCCTTAATCTTTCCTTATTTCTACAGGTCTTTCAGCATTTCCATCCCCTTAATCTCTGTAAACTATTTGACTTCATTAATCTCTTCTGGGACTTCCTTCGAATAATCAATTTCATAGTTTAAATTAGCATTTTCAATTAAATTTATAGGGTTTAATTATCTATTATTCATAGTTTCTATAGCTTATTAATATGTGCTTCGAATTAGCTCATCTTCTTGAATTTGCGAGGCCTTCTTGAGATCTTCAATAGAGGCCGAGAGATTTTCATTGCTCAGAGGAGTGAGTGATAATAGAGCCTGGTAAATAAAGGTATAATTACTTTTCCTCTTCGAAATAAAGCTTTTGCTGAGTTGGGATCGTAGTGCAACACATAAGTTGTGATTTCTATAGTTTATTAATACAATTTAAGTTTGAGAAGAGTGGCTGACATGTTATTCAAAATGGCTATTTTGAGTTCTATATTACTAATATTCTGTTACAATTTAGTAGAGTCGATTCTTCTGGAGTTTTCCCATTGTATTTTACTAAAAACAGAGTGCTACTTTTGCATTCTTTGAACTCCAAAAATTAATAAAGCTCTTCATAAATTTAGCAAGCAGTCTAAAAATCATCTTTTAATTATATATATGGGTTTACTCTATTTATAAAATGCATTTCCCCTTTCCTTGATCAAATTGCACACAGTCATCTATACATGGAATGCTTATTTTCTGAGATTTTAGAAAGTATTTGACAATTTTATAAATTAAGGCGTTTATTAATCAACAAGGCTCTTTTAATAAGCCTTTTATAACATTAAATAATGAATAAATAAATAATCTGTATCCATTCTTTAACGTGTACAATGAAATGTATTTGAAAATAAGATGCATTATTTGAAATACTCACTTAAGAATGGAGACATTCCAAATTAAAAGAGTGGTGATATAATTTCATTAGAGTTAATTAAATATTAAAGTATAATCTCAAAATTAAGATTCAATATTGATTAACACGCTTAATTAATCCAATATTAACTAGTAGTTGAATAAGTCTTTATTCTTTTCTGCAGATTTCAATTTCTTAGAAAAAGTTAACTGCCAATTCGGTTCTTATGTACTTGTTAACTCTTTCTACGTCCTTTAATTTCATAATAGTATTTTTAGAAAGCTTCAACATTGCTATTAGCAATTTTGTAATGTATTTTTAACCCATGAGTTAATAAATATTCAAGATGAGCATGTGGTACTAAAATGGTGTATTTTACAACATTAAAGTTAGATAATATGGACTGAAGCAAATGCCCAAATCATTAAGCCCAATTTCTTGAAGATGTTTATATAATTTTGGAATGGAAGTCTTCAATTTAAATTTCAGTTTTGCCAAATTTTCAAATAACCCTGGAGTTCCAGCGATATAATTGTTTCGATGATTCTAGATTAATTCATTAAATATTTTTTAAGGTTAAGGAACTTAAAAGTAAACTAAAGTTCCGGCTATGAAGTTCATTCCTTATGCATAACCAACATCTGGATCATAATCTGCATAATTCAGGAGGAGCTTTCTTAATTAGTCCTAGTTTTATTTATCTTTAAAATATGGAATCCATTAATAAGTTCTGCCAACATCTCGATCAATCAATTCTGCATAATATGCACTGGGTTCTTGGGGGTTAGGCATTTCAAAGTCCTTGAATTAAGAGAATATGTGGATTAAATTGATATGACTAAATATATATTGTTATAGTACTCTGAGGTAGTAAGATGAGCCGAATAAAACAAGGCTAAAGTTAGATCCTTTGACCTGAAATCATTTATAGATTCTTCTTCCATAATTTAAGTCCAATCCTCCTTTTATATGGCATTGAAGGATAAGTTGTGTCTAGGAGTTTACGAGTTTGTGTTATTTTCGTTTTCAGTGTCTGAATTTTTGGAAACAAGCATTAGAGAAAAAATTTTAACTAAATTAATAAAATTGTTAAATGGAAATGAGGAGTCTATATAAATTCTTAATCATTAAGAATTTGAGAAATACACAAAATTTAATAAAGCATTTTATTTTCTATAAAAAGCAAATAAATGACTGATTATTTATTATTTTATATCAATGATAACTCATGGAATTTAAAGGATTTCTAGGCCCCTTTAAACTTCCTACATGATCTCTAAAAATAAATCCCGTAAACTTAGTATAAAATAATCAATACTAAAAATAATCACTAATAAAAACATAATTTTACTGAGTCCAGTTATAAATTGAATTTGCACAATATTAACTAAATTTAGACATTGGGATAGTGAGTCTTTATATAAAAATATATAATTGTAATTAAGTAACGGTTGTGACTCAATTTTTATGTAGCCATATTACAATTAACATGTTGTGGATGATATTTCGATCATTTTTTGTTTATTAAGTAATTCAACCTAGACTCATGATTTCAATATAAAAAAAGTCATGATGTGCTTAATATATAATAGACAGTATTGTATTTGATTGTGAACTTTGTCTCTAAATAATAAAATATATAATTTGAATTAAATTATTATTCTCATCGTTAATGAAGAAAATAAGTTCGCAGATTCAATCGCTTATGAATAGAAATAGCTTTTAAGAACCTTCATTAAGCAACGATATTAAATCTTCAAGAAGCAATCTTAAGACAGCAAAGACAGAACGACCTTAATCCAAAACTAAAAAAAATGACCTATTAGATTATTTTAAAAAAGAAAGAAATACAATTACGTAAATGGTTCACTCCGTAAAAAATACTTTACAAGGAAGCAAAAGCATTGATATTTTACATACATAAAGTTAGAAAAGCGAGCGTCTGAAAAATGGATAATTAAATGTATTTATTCTTATGAAAATTCTAGTACGTGGATTTGAATGTTTAGACCGAAGACGGCAATAATACAAAAAGGTAAATACTCAAATAAAAAAATTTATCTCTTGCCATAGTTTCATTAGAAGTATGCTTAATGAATTTATTGTTTATAGAATCAGCTTTTAAAATCGTCGCAAACTACTAAATAATCTTACAATCAATCCCCTTAAAATTAAATAAAATCACCGATAATAAAATAAAAAGATTAATATTTATTTGATATGCAAATAGTATAACTATTGAAATAATATAATGTAGTTAAAAAACACCAAAACCTCCTAAGATGATTATTAACAGAACTCTTAAATAAAATAAAATAAACAGTCAATTCTCTCTGACGATCCATCATATCATAGATAATCGATTGAGGATATGCTCTACAATAAAAAATACTTTAATCAAGTATAAACATAAAAACATTTTCCTCAGAAACAATGTGAGAATCAAAAAGCTAAACAAATTAATTAAATTCATTTTAAGACTGAAGCTTGTTCATCTTAGATTCAATAAAAATAATAAAATGCAGATGAAACATTGAATTATGATCAGGATCAATAGTTAAAGATTGTCCTCTATTATAAACAATCAAAGTACTCAACATAAATTATTTAGATATCATTATTTATTCAAATATTAAACAAAAACTACTGATGATCTCTTTAACTATTTAATACAGTAAATAGCTTGTATTGAAAAATAATGTACAAAGTTAGGAGGAGGTACAGGTTCAACAGATGGAGATTCAATTTAATAAGGTACTTAAAGATGAATAATATTAGAATTAAATAAAATATGTTAGTTCTAAACAGTATCAAAGGATGTGCCCTTTGATTATTACTTGACATTACATGAGATGACTTTGGATGTCTTCAAAGGAAACACTCTACAAATCTAGCCTTTGTATTCCCAATCTATTTAAACTAAAAAGGTTGGATTGAAAGATTTTGCATTAGTCAAATGTATAGGTGTGGGAGGATTTTCGAGAGTGTATATGGTAAGAAAGAAAGACAATGGCAAATTTTACGCCTTAAAACTAATTGACAAGAAGTTTATATTTGAAAATTCAAAGGAAATCATTGTATAGAATGAAAGAGATATCATGACTAAAATGAACAACCAATTTGTAACTCCGTTACATTATTCATTTGAAACTAAATACTATATAGCTTTTGTTTTAGAGTATTGTGCTGGTGGTGAACTATTTTACCATCTAAGAAAACTGAAGAGATTAAATGAACAAGATGCTAAAATCTATTTTGCAGAAATCTGTTTAGGAATGGCTTATTTGCATTCTTAAAATATAGTTTATAGAGACATCAAACCTGAGAATATTCTCCTAGACTTATAAGGTCATTTATTGTTAAGTGATTTCGGATTATCAAAACCAGAGATGTCACCAGATGATTTTGCTTATTCATTTTGTGGATCTCCTGAATACATGGCTCCAGAGATGCTCATGAAAACAGGTCATAATTATCTAGTTGATTGTTATTGTTTAGGAGCATTACTCTATGAATTAGTTACTGGATTGCCTCCCTTCTATTCACATAACACCTAAGACATTTATAATTCTATTTTAACTGAATAAATTCAATTTCCAAATTACATCACCATTTCTCCTCTTTTGAAAGACTTAATACAATCATTATTGCAAAAGGTTCCTGAAGATAGACTTGGACATTACAACGGAATTAGTGAAATCTTAAATCATAAGTGGTTCTAAGATGTAAACTTTGATGCAGTTTTAAATAAAAAGGTTAAGCCTCCTTATAAACCTTATCCTTTGAAATATAATTTTGATGAAGAAGAATTCAACAAAGGAGATGCTGAATTTAGAAAGTAATTTCAAATCAATTTACAAAAAGAATTTTAAGTATAATATGTTATAATTAATCTAAGAATGTCGACACTGCAAATTATTTATTAGATAACTTCTATTACTCAAGGGATAGTGTGTATGGATAAGAAAAATCAAAAAGAACAAATGTTCTCAATTTGAATCAGTTATAAAATTAAGCTCTTATTGCTGAACCATTTTCAATAAATTAATAGACTAAGATTCAATCACCATAGGCAGAATCGAATGAACAATTATTTTCATCATCACCAGAGGATTCAAAAAGAATCTTTGGAACAAAGGGAAAGAGTGACCTATTTGATAACTCAAAAAAATAAGAATCTATGACTAAATCATCTTAACTTTAGCATCAAACTGCAAAACTAGGTCATACCTATTCAAAAACTATGTAACAAGCATAATCATCACTTTAAGAACTCAAAGTATTATAATTATAAATACTTTATAGCAAATAAAATTATTAATTGATCAATCCAGAGCTTTATAAACTTCAGACAGAATTACTACTATGCCAGATTAAAATAACAAAAAAGTAACAGAAAGAGTTAAAACAGAATAATTTGGTAATTTATCATCTCCAAAAACAACTACTGCTAGTTCTTCTTTACATAAAATGAGTAACTTTCAAGCACTATTTGGATCTGAAAAAAACAAGAAAAAATTATTTTGATTAATTAAAGAGTAAATAATATTTTTTGATTTTGCTATTGTAAGATTTAGAGTTTCTATTCCTTAATGTCCAATTATTTTAATTTCTATTAAGTAATATTCTAATCTAGTATTTTTTTATCTTTTCAATATATATCTATATGATAAAACATTGTAAATTGGGGATTCTTTCTATCCCATCCACTGTCTCTGCCCATAATTTCTATCAAATACTATTTTATATTTAATCCTATTTGAAATAATTTACGTTATAATCTTTAATTTCAATCAAAATAAATCAATTAATTAGAACATGAATTTAAGAGTAAAAGCTTACCAGGTTGGGTTGAAGAACTTTATATCTATGAAGAATCAAATATATTTCAGTATTATTTAGATAGAATAGCTAGTTTTAAATGTTATTGTTGAGATTGAATCATTTTTTCAGAAAGTCAATAATTAAATATTTTACAATATACCGAAATGAAACAGCAATGAATTAATATATATAAATTATTCTGTGCAACATTAATGTACTAATGATATCATTTTTTCTTTTATTCAACTTTTTTAACGTAGAATTCTAATTCCTTTCCTTCTAGAATATAGCCATCAGCTCTTCCTGACTATCCAGGTCTTGAGGTTATTCTAACCAACAATCTTTGATTAGAGAACTACTCTTGAACCAATTAATCAATCACGTTATCTTTTGCTCTTTATGCAAGTTTTTTTTATAGAGAATTTGATTTTTTAGTTTAATCTGCTGGTGCATCCTAGGATTTCAATGTAATATTTACTTTTTTATCTTTCTTTTTTGGTCCCAATTCAACATTGTATTTTTTAGCATACCATTATTTGAATGGAGTAGCATCTACTTACACAATAACTCCTCTTGTTAAAGTTTTTGTTCTCACCAATTCATTATTAGAAGGATGATAAACAACCTCAACTATTTTTGCTTTTTTTGCAACGCCTTGACTGGCCCAAGAGAAATTGCCTTCAGATAGACGAAGAGCTCTAAATTTGAAATTTCCTCCTCTAACTCTAATTCTTCTGACTCTTTTTTCTCCAGAAATCAATTTTGTCATTGCAGCTTATCTTCCTTTCTCAAATGCTCTCTTCTTTTTATGAATTGGCATACGACCTCCTGTAAGTCTTCCCTTATGTCGACTGTCTCTTGAAATTCCCATTAATTATAAATATATTTTATATAAAAAGATTTTATTTATTTTAAATTTAATAGGAAATATTCAATACCTACTTGGTGCTCCTATCGATGAAAGGACAGCATTGCAAACATTAAGATCTTCATCCATTTAAACTTTTAAAGACATTTATAATAAATTTATTAGATTTATTAGAATTTTATTCAATTAATATCTAATATTATATATTGTTTTAGAAATAATGGTAAGTTATTTGATATATCCTATTTCTATTATTAATATATTTTTATAAAGCAGGATCTAAATTTTAATTATTAAAATATTAATGATCAAAAAAATATATAATAATAAAACCAAAAATTATTTGGAATCAGAATTAAATTATAACATTTTTGATGTTCGAATAATTTCCAAAACAAATTTAAATTAAATCATAAACACTTTCGAGTCTCTAAATTCATACTTCCCTTGTTGTTTTTATTTAGTGTTTTTCTCTAAAATATTTATAATAATTTACTTTAATATATCAAATAAATGATACACCTATTTTAAACTCAAAGGCTATTAAATTTCAAAATCAAAATAATTTAAGGGCATTTATAAATTCATCTTGGGCATTTTTACTTTTACTTCGTTTAAATTAAGACTTCCTTTTCTCTGTCTAACCCATGTTTCCTATTTAATAGGGGAAGTATTGGTGTTTTCTTAAGTGAATTGTATAACAGACTCTCGATCTGCCTTAATAGAGACCGTTCTTTAGTGTTTGTCAACTTGTTGATAATTTACATCGTATTAAGGGAGACTTGGCAACTTTGACTAATGAATTTCTCTGTCGTTTGTTGATCCGAATGTAATTTATCTACTGTGTCGATTTAAAAATTTTTTCGGTCTTCTAATACTTATTGTCTAATTTTTCACAATAAAATTTTTAAACTCTAACTATTTTTGCAAACCTTTATTGTTGCTAGTGATAAATTAATGTAAAGACATGAATAATAAATTTATTAATGAATGAAATTTTTGATGCTTGATTTGCTAAAAAATATAACAGAATTTTAAATGATTGATAATAAATCATTTTGACTCAACAAAGGGATTTGATGATATAAGTATCCCATTATAAATGGGGCAATTAACAACAAAATAATTTAATTGCGCAATTAATTTAAACATGTTTTACAATTACGTCATATTATATGTCATAAATTCAACATTTTTCTTATAATCAAAGGCTGTTTATGAAATACGAACAATTATGGAATATAAATAATAATATTATTGATTTCTAATAAACCTCTGTAATTAATCAAGTATTTATTTGCTTCCATTTAAGTATAATTTATACATAATTATTATTTTATATAATTTATATTAGAATAGAAGTTTGATTTATAATAAATAAAATAAATTTGGAATAATATTGGTCTTTGATTTAGAAGGTTCCTATTATTTGATGGTAAGATTTCTAAAAAAGACAAAAAGGGAGAAAACCATCAAATCAATAAGATTGTATCTTATTGCAAATATTCATTATTATAATAATCCATCAATTACCCATTTATTTCTATCTTCTAGGAATGGGCGAGTTCTAATTGGAAAGCTTTAATCATTTTGAGGTTCATCTTAGACTGCGAATAAATATTAATTAGGGTTAGTTAATGATTGAATGGTCCAAAAATTGAATTCTACTTATTGAATTAGCCAGATATTTCTGAGTTCTTTAATAGGATGAAATCTGACATCGTAATCATGAAATTGATTTAATTCTTTTTTATTATCAATAACTAAGTAAAACGAGGGGAAAAGAATGATCTGATAGCAAAGGCATCTCCAGTCACTCTATCGAGTATAAATTTAGAATGTTAATCACGATTCTATTTAACATTGACACTAAAATCGTCAGAGAATGATTTATGAGAGTCTCCAATAGTTAGAAAGTTTTATTGTAAATGTGCAGGATTGAATGTGACAATAATTAGATCATGTTTTAAAGGATAGGGAGTGGAAAAGTTTGGGTTAGTGACAATATACCAATGATTATTTTGATTTTCCTTATTTTAGGTGCGTACATCAAAATCCTTATCATGGTTATTTGACTTATCTGTAGCCACAAATAAAAATTGATCTGGATTAGTCTCTGATCTGATGGTGAATACACTCCAGCCATGACATTGAATAATCCAATTATTTCTTGTTTCTTTAAATGAATGTGTTCTAACATCGAAATCATCCTTAAATTTTCTTGTATTGTCATTAGAGCAAAATAAATATTGATTAGGTTTAGCGGATGATTTAATGGCATAAACAAACATTCTCTTGACTTATTCAATAATGAAATATGTGTCAATTTATTTTTCTTAAACGCATCCAACATCAATATCCTCATTAAGAGCTTTAGATTTATCAGTGCAAACTGCAAGATATCTAGTTGATGCAGCTACAGGTCAAAAAGAAACAAGTAAAGGAGCAGAACCAAGTTCCATAGATAATTTTTATTTATTTTGATTAATAAAGTTATGCTAATTCCAATTCATTCAAATCTTATAATACAATAATAGATTATACAATAAATGTTATGAATGAGTGATATGAGGAACTGTGATGAAGAAACAATGACTAGAAATTTATTTAGAGGAAGGAACAGATCAATATTAATTAATCTTCAAATTAGCTAAAAAGACTTCATAATTGAGGAATAAAGCAGCTGTTAACTTAGAGATATATATTTGTACTGTATATTGTATGAATTAAAGAGGAAGGGAAGGAAAAAAAGATTTTTGATTTGATTAATACCTGAACAAAATAAGATATTTCAGAATAAATTCAGAAATAGGTCTTATAATGAAGAACAATAAGTAAATTTGAATAGACATGATTGATATTTAATATCTTATATGTAATACTCATCCATTGAATCCATCGATTGCCCACTTGTTTCTATCCTCGACAAATGGATGTGTTCTAACACTGAATTCGTGGCCATTTCCTTCATCTTGAAGTCCAAACAAGAAGTGATTGGGATTTGTAGCTGATTTAATGGTCCAATATCCTGGGCCTGCGGGTTCAATGATCCAATTGTTTCTTGGTTCTTTGTGTGTGTGGAATCTGGCATCGAAGTCTCCCCATTAGTTATAGGCTTAACCATTAGCACAGAACAAGTAGTAGAGTGGACTGGCAGCTGATCTGATTGTGAATACATTTCCTTAGACTCTATCCAAGAAGAATTAGGTCTTGTCTGTCTTTGCTCCTCTGGCTTTGACTGCAAAATCAGATTGGAATTATTGATGTGTTTCTGCAAATGTGAGGTAGTGTTGAGGTAAGAGAACGGGTCTCAATGAAACAACAGGTGGTTGTTATAAAAGTGGATATGGGTGGACAATGTTTGGAATTGTGACAATGAACCAAAGATTTCTTTCCTCATGGTGAGCATGAGTTCTGACATCTAATTCACCTTGATGGGCATTTGATCCATCATCAGCAGCGAAAAGATAGAAATTTGGATTTGTTTCAGATCTGATTGTGAATGTACTCCATCCAACATTTTCGATGATCCAATTGTTTCTGGGTTCTGCAAAGTGGTGTGTTCTGACATCGAAATCATTTCCGAATTTTCTGTGGTTATCATTTGAACAGAAAACAAAGTGATCTGGATGTGTAGCTGGCTTGATTCTATATACTGCACCATTGACGTGTTCTAATAAGAAATAAGAGCTTTCAGAAGCTTAGTTAGCAATTCTGACATCAAAATCTTCTCCAAGAGCTCTTGATTTGTTTGTGGCTGTTGCCAAGAATCTGCTTGGGACTGTGAATGGTCTAATAGATACTACAGCTGGAATTTGTGGAGTTTACATTTTAAATGATTAAAATTTATTTATAAAGAAAATCTTCTTAAATACCCACAATTAAAATTATGGAATGATTTTTAATTCCATAATTTCCTTCTTATGATTTATAAAATAAATTACCAATATTTATGCAATTTGGGATTCTAAAGTTTTAATTTTTTTTTTATTTTATAAAAATCTAATCTGCAGGTCTCTTCTAAATCATATTTCTCATTTCCTTAAAATAATTATCACCTATTTGTCTTTGCATTCTAAAGTCTTAAGATAGCATGACTAATTAGTATTTTGGAGGTATAATCTGCAGCGCAAGGATTTTTAGATCTATCGAATTTAGACATTAAAAACACTCATATTATCAAGCTAAGCTATTTGCAATATCAAGCTTATCATCTATCAGCCTATTCTCAGAATTTTGCATAATCAAACAAGCGCACAATATACTTACACAAAATTTCGCTAAAATTTTGTTCTATGACTTATGTAAAAATCTTATATTGTTGAAGAATCTAGAAGGACTTAATCTTCTAGCACTTATAATAAGAAGGCTCAAAAAAATTGAAAAAATTATCGAACTTAAATTTATGGAGATCAAATGAGAAATCATTTAATTTCATATAAATGAGAATGTTTGGTAATAATAATATAGGTTGGACTAGTTTCAATTCAATTAGCAAATTTTAGCACAAAAGACTCATTTTTAGATATAATTGCAATATCTTTGCTCAAATTTTATAACAACAAACTAAATAAAATAGAATAATTAGAATTTATAATATTAAATATAGTTTATTACTAATCCACCATTATTATCATTTCAATAGATATTAGTTGATGAGTATTTCTATTTTATATATATATATTAAAGTAGAGTCTATTAAAATATAAATTTATTACATCTAAACATTATAGTATCCACTTTATCAATTCTCATAAAATAGTCACATTTTCATAATTTAATTTGTTAAGTATAATTATTATATTTGATATAAATCTTATCCTTCTTTTTAAGAATAAAATTGATTTCAATTTTTAAATTATTTCCATTATAATCTCTAATTTAAATAGAAATATAATTATATACATATAGATTAATAATCAAATTTTTTTTTCAATTATATACTAAATAATTTCCATCATCCAGGAAATTTAATATGAAATAAAGAATGCCTTAAAATATGTATCTTACAGAATAATAAGAGAATTTTAAGTAGCATTCAAGTTTCGCTAGATTTTATTGTTTAAAAAGCGATTCTTTGAAATAAATATGTATTAACCTTCATTTCCATTAATTAGAAAATAAATAGATTCCATCCTTCGAACTTAAGGCATCCTTTATTAATGTTTACACTTAAACTTTCATCACATTATTAATTATCTATTTGAATTTGAGAACATTCTCTCTCTGATTCATTCAAACTTAATGCATTTTCTATGATTAGCCCTATAGTATTATCTTTAAAGGTTTTAGATCCTAGAAAATTTATTCCTCTTATAATTGTTTTATGATAGAGATATTAATTTAAATTAGGAATAGTTTTAAATCTATTAAAACCATAAAAAGTATCTTAATAATTAGAAGATATTTAATTGTGGATAATTATTTAGAATTATACTGAATTAAAAAAGATGCTTTATTTTATCTCCTTTGATAATATCATAATAAAAAAGATTAATTTAATGAAATAATCACGAATGACTATGAACAATAACAATAGAAAAATATTGTTAGAAATCTTATCCACTTGAGATAGAGAATCTACAGATTTTCTTTATTATTGTTAGAATTATATTCTCTTTATTCAATGAAATTCGTTTATAAGACTTTAAAGAAATGTCAGTTTAGTAGTTCTATTAAAGTGTCATGTTAATTTAGATAGATATTATTATATTTTTCATATAACAGAATTAGTCTATTTAATACAAAGCTCTAGAAACATCAAAATATTTTACAATCTTAATTATCTTGACATCTACAAAATTCTTAAATTAATTAAATATATCATCTTAATAGATCTGCTTTCCTGTCTAAATTAAGCATTTAAAAAAAGTAATTTAAAAAGCAAAATCAAAATATATATTTAATTCCTTCTTTTAAATTTTGGATTCTAACCAAAATGCTATAGGTAATCATTTAGATAACCATACTTATTTTAGGTTCAACATTATAGAATATAATATATTAAATATATTGTCCTGATAGAACTAAAATTTTTAATTAGCCTAATCAAAAATGTAAACTATTTTTTTTATACAAGTAGTAAGTTTAGATACACAGGAAACCAGCTCAATATCCACACCTGATTTTATTTAAACCCTTTCTATATTATCATTATTTTTATTTTATTTGAATAGATCAAAAATTAATATGAGATTAAGAATTGCATATTTATTTTAAGACTGATTAGTTTTATTTAATCTATTAATAAATGAAATTAAACGAATTAGTTCTTCAATTTCAAATAAAACTTCCTCATTAGTTGATATGAAATAATAAGATTTTAAAGAAATAAATTATTTAACTCTATTATAATTAAACAATATAAAGCTTTTTATCTTATTTATTAACTAAACTAACTGTAAATATTTAAATATATCTGGTTGACTTATTAGGGTGTTTTAAAAAATATAAACTTCATAAAGTCAAGTAGCATAATTGAAGCTATTTACTTACTATATTATTAATATAATGCTATTAAATTACCTTATTAATTTAAAGTTATACAATAACATAAATACAATATCTTAATAGCAGTTTACCTTAATGAATTTATGTTCAATTACTGCAGATGTAATTAGAGATACATGCAAAGATCATATAGTTAAAACAGTTATATTAGAAAATGAACTTAAGGAAATGAGATTTAAATAGATTCTAATTATTTTGATACTTTAATATTCAGAGAAGAGATTAAATTAAAAATATAAGGTATTGTGGCTCTTCTTTTTAAAATGTGATAAATACTTCAATATTTAGTAATTTTATTACTGGAACTATGTTTGACTTTGATTAATGGAATATACATTATATTATAAGTAGTATTTGATAATTAAAATTTAATGAGAAATATATGACAGAAACTTTTTGTATTTGATTATGTTCTCTACTGAACTGATGTAGTTTAAGATATATTAGCCTAATTTAACTAATTAGATTATTTGTATATAATAAATATAAACTATTTAATTTTTCATTTCTTGAATGATGATTTTATTTAATAAAGACTTTAATTATTTACAGATGAATGGTCATTTTTGATATGAGTTTCTTGATTTTGTCCCTCTAAGTAAGTTGGGCTTGGATTAATTTTCAATAGAAATATCACTTTGTTAAATGATCTTAATCTTTTTGACTGAATTTATAAAGTTAAGACTTTAGGTTTCTCGACGAGAAGAGAGTTGGACATAGTAATCATTCTTTAGAGTTTGAGTTTTAATAATTTTGGAGGAATCCTATTTAAGAATAGATATATTATTAAAAGATCTAGTCATTTTGTTGATTGGTTTGAGATTAGTTGGTTTTTTGAGAGCTGAGGACATTCTTGTTATTTAAATAGAAGTTGAGCAATAAATTTAATAATATTTAATTTAGTAACAATTTGTTAATGATTAAAACAAGAACGAAACCTGTTTGTAAAACTCACTTTAATTTATCATCTAAACAAATAAGCAGATATCGAAAGTATATACTGAATCTAGTTAATCGAAAGTGGATGAGGTAAGCAGATGATGTTTCAACGGATAAATGTAAGATCAGATTTACTGAGAATAAAGTGCATCATTTTGTTCCATCTGAGACGATGATAAAGAAGGTGATCAGATTTAATGGTTATCCAAAGAAAGGAATTTTGAAAACCAAATGAGTTTGTGAAATGATGTTTACTGTTTTTTACAAAATTTATGAATAAAACGATTACATAAAAGTCAATCATAACTTCTACGTTGACCTTAATTTTTCCAACGAGGTGGTGTAGGTGGTCTCTTCTTTAATGCTTCCTCATCCTCAATCCAATTGTGAGCATTCAGATTTTAGGGGTATATCAATTTTGGCACAATCTCTAAGTTTCTTTTAAGAATAAGCACGGCACCTGCATTCTTGTGTCTACCACAATAATCTGTTGCACTGAAAACAGTTAGTAATTGACCTCCTAATCAAAATCTAAATGAAATATTACCAGCGAATCTCTCAAAGCCATCCATAACACATTCATGAGCACGAATAATAAGAGAAAGATTATTTTTAATAAGGAAATTTATAACTCTATCTGGTCCAAATTTTACTATATTTCCAGTACCTGCAGGATCCCTAATAATATTTGGTTAGATTCCAAAGTCTTAATCTGTATCAGTAGGATCTGACCATAAAATATCAACTACTAATTATTGTTCTGGTGTAGTGACTTCATGAATCACTTCCAAAGGTCTTTACAGATTCTCTATTTCAGCCACATAATTTAATTGACTGCCTATTCCTCCATGAAGACAAATGATCTTGTCCTCAACTATGGCAGCCAATGGCAACCATTCAAAAAGTCTATTGACTCTTGCAAATACTGAATCTTCATCATTAGGATCCTCGCCTAATCTCTAAGCACATTCCTCTGAAAATCCAAATCCATTGTTAATCCACTTGTCTTCATGATTTCCTCTAATCAAATGAATTGATTCTGGAAATCTTACCTTTAAAGCCAACAATAAACAAATGGTTTCCAAAGAATGATTACCTCTATCCACAAAATCTCCCAGAAACAAATAATCAAATGCTTCTATGTCGCTATCTTTGCCATCTACAAATGGAGATCCCCACAAATCAAAGAATCTCATTAGATCTGAATATTATCCATGAATATCTCCAAAAATCTTTATTGGAGCTTTGCATCTTAACACCATAGGTTGTTCCTTTAGAACTGCTTCTGCTTAGTCACATAACATAAGTATATGTTAAGCCTGGAATAAAAACTTAGCATTTTCAGAGATATTGATGAAAGTCTTAGGCTATAATAAGGTGCTTATGAATAGATGAGCAATATTATTTTCTTATGCACTTTAGGGCACTCTTGGTTTTCTATTAGGGGCTTTAGAATCCCTACTTTCTTCAGCAACAACAGCCTAATTGATAAATTTAAACTGTGATTTATCAGTTTAATTTTAAGCAAATGGTTTCTATTATTTTTGAGTATTCTAAGCGGTTTAACCTGGTTTCTTTTGAATCAAGGAACTATTCAAAGGGGATGCCTAAGTATCTGGTGATATGGGAGTCATTTAAGGCGATAATGATTGAGGTGATACACTTAATAACAATATAATAGTACTTTCTTTAAGCATGTTGATATTATGCTAATTTATTAGTTAAAGTTTCACTTGGCAATAGTAATCTATTTAAATTGATCTTAGAAATGATATCAGTTGGGATGTTAGGTGAATCTAATTCAAATCCTCCGTAGACAAAGATACTTGTGTCTACTAACCATGAGGAATGTCTGAATCTCTAAATGCTATTGAATTTAGACCACTCTGATGTTTCAGTGTCATAAACATCAATGGTTAAGGTCTCTCCAACATTTCCAGTTCTACCCCCAATAACAACGAGCATGCTGTAAACGAACAATGTAGTGTGTTGATATCTGCCAACTGGCTATTCTTTGTCAATTTTATAAGGAGCTTTGACCCAATCCCATCTTCCATCTCGATGTCTTCTCAATCCCCAGGCATCGTTCAATGCTTATTGATCATTTGAACGTCCTCCAAATGCCACAACCATCCCATTAGCACTGCCATTAGTGCAAATGCTAGCTGAATGATATACTCGTGCCAATGGCTATTCTGATTTGCATTCCAATCTCACCCAAGTGATGGGACTCTTCTCTACATTAACACACCCTTTAAATTAATATAGAATTCATACAGCAATCGTTGACTGGCTCCTGTCCTGTATTGCCTCCAAAGACTATCAGGAATGGTTTTGTAAAGGTTAGAGTGTGTCCATACCTCCTGCCTGGTGTAGTTCCCACAACTGGCACGACTGTCCATTAGCCTAAATCGTCGTTCGATCTCAGATCCAATAAATAGAGGTCATCTGATGCCAAACTGCCACCTTGCATTATTTATCCATTGATTACCTCCTGTGGCTCCTCCATAAATCACGATTTAATTTATATCAACACACACTGCTGAATGTGCTGCTCGAGGAGATGGTGCTGTACCCTACACTACTCTTTTCTTTATTATGTATACCTTCTACTCTCTTCCATTATTTGCTTTACATGTCGAACGAGAATGTATCTCCTGTAATACTATATTTCCCTGTGTCTCCTGTTGCCCCTGTCATTTAATTATTCTTAGTTACCTCCGAATAATATCGCCTTGCCCTTTGCTATGTATGTTATCGTGTGTCCAAATCTGGCTTGGGGCAATTGTCCAAATGCCTCAACCTTTTCAAAATTACTCATTTATTTATTATATTTCAAATTTTTAAAATATACAATACCCTAAAATATCATTTATTTTAGATATCATAACAGAATTTTATAATGGATCCGAACAATCCCTCCCTTGTCCTGTATATTATCCACCCCAATAATTATTATAATAAAAGAAGAAAGCTTAATTTCATTCACATTCCTAAGAGAATTTCGAGCATCGATCCCGGAGCTTGCGAATTTAGACTTGTTGGAATATTCAATTTGGACAGCAGATACTCATTCGTGTTCACCCAGGAGTCTAAATAGTCTTCCTTTATTATTTATATTACTTGAATCACGCGACGATTACTTTTTCTATTATTATTCTTTTTCAATTACCTGATCTTTTTTTGCTATTTCATCATGTAAACCCAATTTTTAAATTTTTATTTTTATTAATGAATTAGTTAGATGACAATCCACTTAAATTATTTATTTAATAATTTTATGTCCAATGAAGCAGTTGCTGGTTTCATAGCCATCAAAACCCTACAGAATCGACCATTACGCTATTTTGATGCCAATTTCAATGAATTCAGAGATAAAAATATGACCATGTACATCCAAAAGAAATACGCCGATCTCAAAAGTTGTATTTATCAAACAAACAATCTAGAACGAACTGGAGTACCAGAACTCCCAATCCAAACATTTACAACCACACAATTGTAGATCAAACCCAAAGCTAATGACGGATTAAAAGAAGTGAAAGCTAATTATGAATTGGATGAAAAGGTTATAGAAATCATGCAGAAAGTCATAGATCAAGAGGAATTAGAAGGCATTCTATCCTAATGTCAGGGCTAATCTAATACGAACAAATAAAAAAATTGGAAAAAAAAGGCAATATCTGTTCCCCAGAAATTAGCACTACTTATGAATGATCAAATTGAACAAAGAGATTTGGATACGCTTTTTGATCAATATCAAAGATAAAATCTCAAATCTTCTGTAAGTTTCATATAAATAATCTTATTATAGTTGGATGAACTCAAGATGTCAGTCAAGGACCCCAAATTGATCTACAAAAAATTAGGCAAAGAAGGATTTCAAAAAGTTGAATTTAATGACTAAGAACAAGTTAACTTTTTTATGAAGAAGTTATGTGAGGAATAAAAATTAGATGCGTGTTCAGTTTTGGAAATCAAAAATGGTATGATCATATCTATATAGATAATATTAAATTCAAGGAAGATGCATGTGATGAAGTGGAGAGATGGAGGAATATCGTTTAGAAGCGTATTACGCAAGAATAGATGTAAAAGATTTTAGCTGATGAAGAGATGAAATAAAACAAACAACTAGTTCAAATATTCAAAGATACAAGGATTGATCAATTCGATCCTGACTTTTTTAAGAAGAAAGTTAAAGGCAAAACCATGAAAAGAGTCAATGAAGCATAAGATACTCAATATCACAAGTTCTTTGTTTAAACAGATACAAATAAAAATACATTCGGAAAGGAGGATTTCCTGAGAAAGAAGTTTGATTATACAACACCTAAATCTAAAGTTGAGAGCACTCTCAGATCCACCAGACCTACTACCAGTGTTAGTAGATCCCATAGAGTGTTGCATAGATCTGATATTGAATTCAATAAGTTTATCAAGTAATGCAATGTTGTAGAACAGACTTTTCAACAAAGCAATACGAAACTAAATGAGAGATTTCAGTAGTTGGATAAAATGATGGATAAAGCATGTCAATATTTAGAAGATGATAAACCGTAAGAGGAAAAAGAACCAAATCAAGATTTTGAGAGATTTAAGAAGTAACGTCTATTCAAAAAGAAATTCGTTACTTATCTAATTGACAAAGTAGAAAAGCAGTCAGATCTACTGAGTTAAAAGATTAAAACTGTATAATCAAGAAGATTGATCGAAAAGGTCCTCTCTGAAAATTTATGATTTACATTTTTATTATATTTATTAATGAAACTAATCAGGAGTTTAGTTTAATATGCTTCTATAATAAGAGAATGTCCTCTTTAAGTAAATGGCGTAAACAAAACTTGAAATATTCTTGGTCATTTTTTTATAAATTTGTGAAAAACTCTTTAAGAGTATCCTTAAATATATATTGATCAGTATTACCACAAGATTGATATTCAAACATGGATCTTTCAAATAAGTTAAATCTTCTTCAGTTGTTTCATCACATTCTTCTCCAACTTCTTGATTAAAATCTAAGAATTCACTCATATACAACGTTGATCCTGTCTCCAAATCTGCCAATCCTTTGTCTTTCTTTTCTTTTGGATCCAACAACTAAATTGATAAATGTCTAAAAAATACAGCAAATCTGTCTGCAATGTCTTAATCTTCATCATCTTTAATTTTTTCTAAATCCACATCCACTTGATCTTGATATCTCTTATCATTAAAATCATCATCGTCATTGTCCACCTCCAAACGATCATCTTCTTATTATTAATCGACATTTTCCTGTTTGCAAGGTACAATTTCATTATCCAGACATCTTATAAGCAAGGACAAGATTTTAAATGGTGCATAGACATCTTGTATTTTATTGTATGTTATTATTACCACTGTTGATATTCTGATGACTTGGATTATACCCAATAACTAACAGATTCTCTAGAGTTTTATCTTTAACTAAAAACAACTTCATTAAGGCTGAGAAAGTGGCATTCTTAGTTCCCTTTCCTCTAAACAAGGGCTATTACAATAACCACTTATCAATCAGCACTTTAAGAGCCATTCTATTGTCAATGCTCCAAGAGGTTAAAAATGCTATTGATTCTTTGGGTTTCTCAATTATCATTCTAGCATAGACTAAAACTAAAGACTGGACTGTTGATGGCATTCTAGATCTGTAAATCTTAAACACAACTGCCTTTAATAGATTCAGATCTGGATTCCCATCCAAAAGATTATTGATTGTAATCATAACTAAATTGCCTGCAAATAAGGAGGCTGATTCATTTGCTGAATTCTAAGAGACTTCCAATAATTTTAAGTTGACTTTCATAACATCTTGAACCAGATTCCTAAATTTATATGTAAATATCTATACATCTTCAGAATTTATCCCGTTTCTATGATAATAAAGTTCTTGAGACATTAACTAGTGTGAACTTATAATTATGGGTCTTCATTAATCAGAATCAGATTAACCATAGAAGGTAACAAATTAATAAAAGCATCCTGTGCCTTACTATCCGAACAGAATTTGATAAAGGTTGACGTAATGTTCATGATAGCACTCATCAACGTAATATCACTTTATTTGATCTTGCTCTTGTCTTATATTTTGTGGACATCCTCATAGAAAACCTAAAAGCAATCCAAAATGAATGGACAAAACACCTTGAATAACTGAATTGGTATTACTTCAAAAATATAAGGGTATGCCTCCTTGCATTAACATATTCTCACTATCAATTCATTAAACGGTTTAATAACAGATTATTCTGAATGGAAAACACTGAAAAACTATAGTAAAACCTTAGATCCGCTCTTTGCTAAAGTTGTAGCCAAATTAGGTGAGAATTTAACTAGATGAATTGTAGATTCTAAAATAGAAATCATTTAGTCTTGAGTTGCCTCTTGTAACACAGTCAGCACTGATTCCATAAATTCTTGTTTATATTCAAAAGGTATGCTATATTTATGAATCTTGGAAGCATAACTACATTTATTGTGTTAATTTACTTTCCTAATGCTTTGACTGAGATGATTCTAAGAGTAATTGGGAATTTGGAATCCAAATACACTATAACCGATTCAAAAAGAGGCACAAATAGCTCTTTGAATTAGTGACTAATCAAATCTGAATATCTGGTAGTACTCCATATGGCTCTAGCTTATAAACTATGTGAATCTAATAATACATATTATTAAATTTTACTCTGTTTCTCCAATTCATACAGAATGTTCTACATGCACTTTTTAATATCGAAAGTGCTCTGATGTTTTTGCTAAAACACAATTATGTCTTCTGAGAAACTACCCAATAATAAGTAACCAGTTTCCTTTCTCTTTTGTATAAATGATTTGAGATAATGATTATTGTTGATAGTAATGATTGAACCTTTCATAAATTGCATAACACTATCTTAATCAAAATCCTTAGACTATTGTCCCTTCAATTCCTGGAAATTCAATTTAGATATAATGGACTGAGCCAAATCGATGAACTCCTTCTCATCCCTATTAAGTATTAACTTCTCTCCGACAATAAGTATTTATTGAATGAATTGATCACCATATTTCTCAATCATATCATTAATCAATTTCAAGGCCAAGGTTCTTACGCTCTTCTAAAGCAATTCTTCTTCGTCATTCAATATGAAGTAACTAGGATCCTTAACCCATTGTTTCTCTTATTCTTTGGTGGCAGTCAAAAATGTCGATAGAGTATTCAACAATGGGAAGGTTCCAAATTTGATTAAATTGTAAAGAGCTGGTTTTGTAACTAAGATGGTAATCAACTCTATAGAATATGCACACAATCCTTCAATATGATTCTCGTAATCATCATCCTCATTAAGATATTTGTACTCAATGTCTAACATAATTACAACTTAGATTTACCATTTCTCAAATTTATTATTCTTTAATTACTAATTGGCAATTCTTTTGCCTCCTCCACAAATAATGCGTCGATATGATCCACATCTATCTAATACACAATGTGTCCAATATACAATTAAGTTATGGAGTTGAAGAATTTCCAAATTGGAATTAAAGAGATAGCCAGGGATTTCCTGCTATAAACTCCGAAATCTCTGAATATGACTATCAGAATCTTCAAAACCAACTTCTTTATAAAGATGTGTGATTTTGGTGATGTTTGCAAGGCTGACAAAAATAATGACTATTATTATATTTGTATATGATACCATCCATATTTAGAAGGTATTGTCCATACATTTATTAACCAAGGAATTGTCAGTCCCATCAGCAAATGAAATCGATCTCAATACCAGATACACCATCAATAATATTTTCTCTCTCAGCATCTCATTCAATTCTGGCTATGCAAATATTCCAAATCCCTTCTCAAGCACTGAAGGCACTATTTCCTTCAACAAATTCTGATGCTCTCCATTAGTCTCACTCAATCTGCCAAACAATTATAAGAACAGTTCTAAACTAGATTCAACTGCGTTTATATCGTCCATCCAATTTAAAAGCTCCATCAATGGACTTGGCCATATGTGACTTGGATCCAATACAATTATGGACACGATTATTGATGACTTATAAGTATTAATTATTGATTACAATCAATTCTATGATAGGCATGTTTGACACATTCATAACTAACCCATTTAAAAGGAGTTCACGTATTACTTTACGAGAAGGCTATATCAACTCCCATTATTCTATCAAAATATTCCTAAGCACCACTCCAATGTTGATTCTTATTTCAACTGGATAATCAGGAGATACCAAGATTTTTGTGCTCTCAACCATAAAATTGGAATAAGGAGTATGCAAGATGTCGTATGCTTTCTCCAAATTTTCAAGTGCTTAGGCATATATCTATAACGTGATTTCAGGTGTAGCTTCTGCCATTTTAAATTTTTTTTGTATTTTTTATTTTATATAATATTTATTCAAATTCTGCCCTCTGTTTATTTCTCCATTTTATCTATTCTCTGATTAACTGAATGCAAAACTAATGTTCTAATTCAAATTTCTGCAATAATCAAAATGTTGTTGGATAATCAACAATTCTCAATTTTGAATGATCTCATGTTCTTTATTACTTAACGATGCAACAAATTTAAATTATTGATTGTATTAACATTTTTAAATACTTTATAGGTCTACTCTCTCTTTTATATTTGGAAAACATCTGCTTAAGAAACCAATATAAATTTAGATTTAATTATATCTAATTCAATTATTATACTCACTTTAATCAATAAAAATTAAGCATTAACCTATCAATGATTGTGAATAATCAAACCACAGTATTAATTCTTTAAAGAATTTTGCTTTTAATTTGATTTCTAATTTGATATTGTTAAATTTCTAGTTATTTATTGACTATTCTTTTTATAAATTTAAATTAATGTATTCAATATCATTTTATTAGATTTATTAAGCAATAATCCATTTTTTGTATTGTTATAATAAAGAATTATCTTTGAATCATTTACTAGCTTATGAATCTCCTTTAGATGTATGATTAATTATAGGCATCATATTGATGATGTATCTTAATTCATACATATATATTTCCATTATAGAAATAGAGTGGCTTATTATTTAATTGGTTAATTAATATATAAATTCTATTCTAGTAAGTTTGAATAATTTTTGGAGATATATTTATTTACGATATTAATCTCATTAAATGTGAGATAATAAAATTAATAGATGAATTTATCACTCCTGTCATTTAAGCCTTCAATAGAATACAATTTGGTCTACAATAAAGAGAAAGGACTAATAAAAAACGCATTCAAATATTTTAATATTTTTGTGATACCTAGGCTTGATCAAACTTCTTGTCTAGTAGTCAATTACATCTAAAAATAAAGAATCAATATCACCTATAGGAAATATAAAAGCAAAGTTTTTCAGTTCTCATCTTCATTATTCTATATTTCATTTGAATATTAGTTTATGGAATAAAAATCAAATTAATAAACAGAATGAAGATTAAATTATTGATCAATAATACTAGCAGCAAAGTAGTCTATGTTTCAATTTCTTCAAATTGAAAAATCATTCAAAAAAGGAACTTCTATAGTTAATATAAAATAAAATTATGAAGTAAGATAATATTATAGACTTCTTAAGTCATTATTATTTAATTATTCAAAAATTACTTGGGCTTCATTAATAATGATCAATACATGCAATATATGAGAAAGAGCAAAAATTAATATTTAATAAATGAATAAATGTAACTAGTTTAATATCATTACTTAAAATAAATATCAAAAAGGTTGAGAAAATTGGTAATTAATGTTTAAGTTAAGTATCATATTGATTATGCATTTATTTGATTGATTTCATAAGTAGATTTAATGAATTTCATTTAAATTAAGAAAATATCTAAGATGTAGATGCTAATAAGTAAAATCATAAAGATCATTATTTAATGATCAATTAAATGTCTAAACTCAACTCTATGAGACTTAGTTGAGTTATCCACCTACTTTTAGTTTAGAAATTGAGCTTTTTAGAATTGGAGATCTTTTGATTGACTTGTAGTTTAAATTAGTATGGTTAACAAGATTAATTATGATCAAAGCTTTGATCTTAAACTAGATATTCAAGAATAAAATATTACTATTATCATGAAGTATAACCTTATTTCAGAAGAAAGTCAAACTAGTTGAACAAGATGCAATTAAAACTGAACTAGTTATCTTCAAGAAGAGAGTTTGCCACTTGATAAAGAGGATATCATTCATTAATGGAAATATAATGATTAATTGTTTGATTTTGCTCATAAACTCAATAAAATCATTTTTATCGATTATTTCTATAAGCCATATCACTAAATGTTTATATAAATACTTAATCTTGTATATCATGCTTGAACGGAGGTTTATAATTGGACATATCACTACTTAAATATTCATAGAATATTGTAATTGATTAAGAAGTTCCAATCTGTGGGTAAAGAAATTATCACATATAAAAGAATTTCTGCCTTTGCAGAAATGTATTCATTAGTTTAATGAATCAAAAATTAAAGGAAACTAGAAATTTACTATTTTGTTAAAGTTGAATTGAAATAGTATATAGAATGATATAATATGGATTGTCCATTGCTCCTATTACTGATGGATAATCTAAAAATTTATTAAGCATTATTTCCTATTTGAAATGCAAATGAAATAAAAAGAAGAAAGAGAAAATGAATGATTTCCATAATTATATATAATTATAAATGAAATTTATCATTGTAATTGCAATCTTAATCGTTGGTACTTATTAGCTTATGCCTATGCCCAAATAGTTTGTTAAAGGGTCAAAGAGCATGAAAGTTATTAATAAATGTGGAATACAATTTACAAACGGTAATCAATATCCAGAACATGTAATTGAATTATTGCGTCATTATCATTCATTAATGACATCAAAAAATGAATGTAATTTTGAATAGGCTTTGAATTTCAATCTCAAAAATTAAGGAGCTTTGAAATTTCATATTTCCCTTCAAAATGATGAACAATTATATTGGGTTAATAAAACTTAATAAGAAGCTTATATTTTGAAAATTGATGAATATTTAAACATATAAATTGATGCTCATAATCATTGGGGTTTGGCTCGAGCATTAGACACAGTGCATTAATTAACTGAAAATGATCGCATTGAATTCGTATATCTCTGTCTAACTATAATAGCTACCACTTATAATTGAAGATGAGCCAGCCTATTCTTTTAGAGGTGTGATGGTGGATACAGCAAGACACTTTTTGCCTTTAAAGACTCTTGAGAGGACTATTGATGCATTGGCTATCAATAAAATGAATGTAATGCATTGGCATATCACTGATGATGAAAGTTTTCCTTTACTTCTAACAAATTATAGTCGCATAACCCACACATCTAAATATTCAGAAAATGAATACTACACAAAATCAGATGTATCCTATTTGATAGAGTATGCATCCATAAGAGGAGTGTAAATAATACCTGAAATTGATTCACCAGCCCATGTGTAATCTTGGGGAAGGAATATTAGTGATTTAGAATATATTATTTTAAATTGTGGAAGCACAATTAAATAATATGGGCAATTCGATCCTACTTTAGATTTAACTTATGATGTGGTTAAATCAGTCTTCTAAGATTTATCTGATATGTTTAGCAAAGTGCAGTTTATTCATTTTGGTGGAGATGAAGCTATCAAGAGTTGCTACAACTAAAGACCATCAATCAAAGAGTTCATGGATAAAAATGGCATTGCAGATTATATAGAATTGCAGACTTATTACAGATAACGATAAAAAAGTATATGGAAAAATGAAATTAAATCTAAATAGAGAATAGCCTATTGGTATAATAAGGACGATAAATTACCTGCTGAAGATGAAGATATCATTCATTGGTGGGGTACTACAGATGAACTCGAATTAGTAGCAAATAGAACTAATGATTTCATACTTAGTGACTATCGTCCATTGTATTTGGACATTGGTGTTGGAAATGCTTTTGGAAATACCTATCAAACTTACTAAACTTGGAAAGACATTTACAAATGGACTCCAAAAGCTCCAGAAGGATTCAAGGGCAAAATAATTGGAGGTGAGGCACCTCTTTGGGGAGAAACCAATAATGAAAATACTCACTTCTAAAGATTGTTCATAAGATCATCCATTTTGGGAGATACGTAATTATGATAAATTTATGTAGTTTATGGAATCCTTTCTCAAAGCAATCAGAAAAATTCTATGAATTCGCTGATAGACTAGGGTAAATGGAGGATAGAATGAACAAATATGGATTTCCAGTATCCCCTTTCACTCATGATTATTGCAAGAGACATACCAAAATTTGTTTTCCTATCTTGTATGAAGAAGAAGAACCAAGTATCGGACAATAGCATTAATTTAAAGAATTATGAGTTTAAATATATTTTTTATTAAAATTCAGGAATGGGTTGTTGTGCTATTGAACCAGGACATAACAGGAATAAAGAAAAGGTTTTTTGTGAGCAAATTCAATAGGATACTCTCAATAACCAATAATCTTAGGACTAAACTCTCCAACCTAAATATCAAGAACAAACAATGGAAAAAGTAACTTGTGAAATACAGATCGTCTAAAAAAATAATAAAAACCATCTTGTTGCCCTGAAAGAGAATCAATATGCTGTTTATAATAAGGATGATCTTAATGCTGTTGAAGATCAATTTTTTTAAGATAAGCATTCACAAAAACCTCAAGAAGTTGACAAAGCTAATTCCGATGATGATTATTGATTTCATTCAATCAATCTTATTATTTACATTAATTATTCTAGTATTTTTAATTTATTATTATCAAATTTTAATTTAGTAATTTACAGCTACTTTTCACTCAAAGTTGAATAAATTCACTTAGAACTCCGTTTGAAATTGATATTGCTCTAAATTCTCTTAATTTATTTATCAATTTTTAGAATGCCTCGCTGTCCTACAGATATAGTTTATTCTGAAAAATATACCGATGGAGAATTTGAGTATAGGCATGTCATCCTACCCCATGAGTTATATAAAAAAATCTCAAAAATTGGAAGACTTCTAACTGAACAAGAATGGAGAAGTCTGGGGTATAAAAGGATCCCCTGGATGGGTTCATTATGACTATTATAAACCAGAACCACATATTCTAATGCTTAGAAAAAAAATTAATTGATTATTGTTTCTATAATATTATAATAAAATATATTTAATTTCATATATAATTATTCTAACCTTGCGCCATAAATCTATTATACTATTCTATATCTAATCTTCATATATATATGATTATATTTTGTGAAAGTAATTCATATTTAAATTATGTATTTCTCATATTTAAGTTAATTATAATATTTCATTCTCTATAATTTCAAGTATCAGCTAAAATACATATCAATTTCGTAATTATTAATATCAATATTTAAACCTCACTGTATTTAACTAAAGTTTAATTAAATGAAACTGTTTGACCTTCGAAGCGAAATATTTAATAAAAAAATGCCTAATAAGTACACTAATTTGATTTACATTCTCAAATATCTTTGTTAGAAAAATTTATACCCTAATTTATTTCACCTCCTCTTAGTTAACCCTCCAATTCAAAAAAATTGAAATCTTTATTTTATCAGTTGGAATTAAAGACTTACCATTTGATAAGGAGCCCAAATTTTATACTCCTAGAAGTTACATGGAGTCTTATCTTATCTAGTGAAATTATAATTTCTTGTTAAATCTCACAATTCAGAAATTTTTGATTCCTTAATACTCCTTTTGAATTTATTTTATATTAATATAATTAGATCCATGTTAATATTATTCTGAAGTGAATTTATAATAAATTCTCATTTATTATTTCTTCATTATACTAAGGAACTTAAAAAAAATACAATGAATTTGGTGTTTTTTGTAAAAGCATATCAAATAAATAGTTATTACCAAGTCTTACTTTTAAATAACATTTTATCACATCTTCTAACTTTAAAAAACTTATCTTTCATTTATAGAATTAATAGAAGTGAGAACTAATACCGTATAAAAGCAATCTTTGGTTATAGAGTCCTAAGATTAATTGTGCTTAAATCCAATTTAACTGATAAGTTTTGATAACAAAAAAAGTACCTAAAAAATATAGATCTTAAGCAATAGATATTTGTTATTTTCGGTTAATTATATCAGAAGATTTAAAGTAAGGGTTAAATAGAGAGACAATCAAACTATTTAGGCATTAAGAGTTCCTATATCAGTTTTATTTAAAAAGTCTATTTTATTTAAATAAGAACCTTTAAATTTGACTCTAATAGTTAGAAAAAAGTATTTATAATTAAATAAATTTCAGGAGCAGTTAAATTTAAATACCCAAAGATTTAAATTAAGCATAGGTAATAATCCAATCAAATTATATTAAAAATTAGGTTTAGAATTTATATTTCGATAATTTTGAGCTAGTTTAAATAGATTGTGGATACTAAATTATTTTATATTCTAGTGGTGTGAGAGATGGTTCAAACTTAGAAAACTCAATTTATTACATTGAATAGTATTCAAATTC